GCAAACGAAAATGATTGAAATGATTGATCACTCATTGATTATTAATGATTAATTTATGCTGTTATGATGTGTAATTTATATTAGTTTCTTTTTACGCGATTTTTATGGCCACGGCACAAACGGTACGTGGATTTTTAATGTAATCACGAATGTAATATATCAGTACGATCATTATTATTGATTTCGATGGGTGGAACAATAACATGAAAAGTTTAAGTGGCAGCTGTCAAATTTCTATAAACGCCAGATGACGCTGTACAATGTAATTCTGTGCGCGTTTCGATGATTTTATCTAATGACTCAATTTGGGCATAATAAATTTCATCACTTTATCACTTTCCACGAACGCTCGCAATCTCTACGCGTGGTTATAACACGCGGAAGAAGTTTTTTTATCTTTTTGTGCATGGTGTCGACATTCGCCGGCTTTTAATAAATGCATTATTGCATCGCATTTAATGAGTGTGTGCGCACTTTGTTCCTGCCGTTTGCATTGCAGGCTGCTGTTCCTGCTAAGTAAGTGGTGAGCGACGGACTCAGCACGAACACTTTCACCCGATACGTAAAATATTGTTTTATGACTTTTGCGCGTCGTGGCGTAGTGCTTCTCATCGTATGAATCGAGCTGTCAGACGGTGTAAAAATGTTTTGCGGAAATGTGGAAAAAATCGTATCGAAAGATGCTTGAGAAGAAGCAGGTAGTACGTACCTACGTACAATTCAATTAGTCGTTAATGTGAAAAGTCATTAAACGCGTATTAAGAGCGCTGCGCAGAGTGCGCCCATGGAGGAGCGTCTTCTTCATCTTCGCGACGTGAAAGATTCTGATGCAATTCGAAAGCGAGCGAAAATCAGAAAATCACGCTTCGTCGTTGCGTACATGTGCAAAATATCGAACTGTATTATCGAAAGTAATGCGCCATCGGAGATTGCAATTAAAAGTCGATGATCAAGCGTTAAAGTAAGAGGATTCACACGATGGTTTTGATTTTTAACGCTTTTCCACATCAACTCTTTTAATGATCAGATTTTGCAATATTTGAACAAACAAAACAAACATAACTTGCATGAAAATTTATTTTAAGCTCTTGCAATCAATACTTCATGCAATTTCTCCTTAAATACAATCATTAAATTTTCTACGTTTGTAGAAAACGAAAACACTTTAACCCGCAAACGTCATCCATTCCATCATGGCGGTGAATTGTGTGTACTCAGGTGCGAGGCCATCGGAATGTGTTTGCGTCGATTTACGACGTGTGTGCTTTCGGCACATCGCCGCGATCCGTACCCGCGCTCTGTGTGTATAGTAAATTTTTATTTTAATGAATTTTTAAAAGTCCCCGCATTGAATGGCCGGCCGTACTGCGCGTCGTCGGTGAACGCAATTCAAATAGAAATCGCTGCTCGCCAACAGAGTCAGTCAGCGTCGTCGTCGGCTTGAACAGTCTCTTATTAAATATGGTCACACATGCAACGCGAACGCCCAGCGAAAATAAAAACCCAACGTGAATACAGTGAATACACGTTATGAATTATGACTCTCTACCGCTAAGATTGTCTCCGTTTGAATATACATATTTATCGAACGCCTCGATCGCTGAGAATCCTGCTGCACTTTCTTTTCAGCCTGACACACACAGGTTCGGTACCGTTCGTAGATCTGCTAGGGATCTAGACCATCGCGGAATATAAATTTATAGAATGTGCATTGAATTCAAAAGGGCAAGACACAAACATTTGTTTTTTTTTTGTGTTTTGCGAAGCCACGTCGAGTTTATGAAGACTTTTCTTGAGTGCGCAGTGCACAGGAATGGCAATTATTTTGATAATTACACTGCGAACAATCGCGAGCAAACATGCATTGTATTCGATGCGCAATCGACGCCGGGAAGCAGTGTTTAAAGTGTGTAAAGTAGTGAATCGATGATAATTCACAGTCGGTGCGACAGACAATTGTTTGCATTGTACATTCCTACAAAACAATTAACAGCTCAATTAACAGGGTGAAAATTAAAATTATTGATTTATCTATTAATTATTAATTTGTTAACATGCACCAACTGTCGTTTATTACCTTAGGACCTTTTTGTTTATTTAACGACACTGGTCATATAATAAAATGACAATTAATTAAGCTTATTGAATTAAAATCCGCGTTAGTCATAAAACTGCAAGCCTGCAGTGCGTGTACAGAGTGCTTCCGAAAATGTGGTAGAAAACCACTGGCGCGCATTTGGGTAATATCGTAACCGGAGATGATGGGCTGATGGGCCGATGGCGCATCTCTTGCAAGGACAGCGAAAGAAACAGCACTCCCTATGAAATAAACGCCGCGCGGCGGAGTGGCGAGCGTAATAGAAACTGGAAAGACGAGTTGCGTATGATAATGGCTGGTCAACGGCCTATCCGCCGTCAACAGGTGCTAACACTTTGCTCGCTCTTCTTCTTCTGCTGCTTCTTCGAGCCCGGCGGAGCTGTGAGAGCGCTCAGCGCGTCCACAAACAAAGCGTGCTTTCAATCTGGTCGTGGTGCGCGCAAAAACGTAATTAATTTGTTTATATTAGGTGAGAAACAAATCATAAAATATTTCTACAGATATAACTCTGTTTTTTTTTTCTTACTTTGTACAGCAGTAAATCATTTGTACTCATTGACGATTTAATCGAAATTGAAATTTTCATCAAAGCTTTTTACATCTTCACACATGTCAGTCTTTTTGCTTTTGATGTGAAGCTTGAACAGCAAGAAAAGATACGATATGAATGTATGAGGATTCAGCTGTGTGCATTTAACGAGGCTTAATGAAAAATTAAGCAGTCAGCGGTGACCGCGGCGAGGATAACAGATTGCCAACAACGTCGTGCGAGCTCCTCGCGCCGTTCAATGCAGAGTTAATGGCGTTTTCGTTGCGAGCACACAATAATTCTGATTGAATTCGCGCGGCGTTTGGATTGAGCGATCCGGTCGATAGTTTGATAATGGCGCGCAACTCGGACGCGCCACCAAACGGTAGTTGTAATTGGCTTTCAGCGTACAATGTAACAATACCGTCGAGTGCTGAACTGCTGAAGATATTATTGCACGATTATTATCAAAGGATATTTCGTCAGACATACGAATAATAGTAATCTAGGTGCATATATTTAACTTTGTTTTAACTCGTCAAGTAGGTGAACGAGTTTGACATCTAGTTTGATGTCAAAATGTGTAAGGAGGGTTGCATAGCACGCATGTAACATACTAATAGATTGGTTTCATATTTCTTTGTTTCAACGCATCAAGTATATAACGAGATTGTCATCTAGTTCGATGTGAAAATGTGTAAGGTGGGTTGCATAGCACGCTTGTAATACGCTAATAGAATATTTTTATATTTCTATGTTTGTTTCTCTTATTTTTCGGTATTTTAAAGGAAATTTACTTAAAATACAGTTTCTGATTGTCAAACTTTCCCCATGACATTAATTTAATACACAATTAAGCAGAAAATTGCTTATTTCAACAACGATAATTGATTATACAGTTAATTGCATAATAAGCAATCATTTAGATTTTAACTGCGATGAATCTGGCGAGTGCAATAATCATATCAATAAAATTGAATAAAAATTCAATACGCTTGCGTTAAACTCGTCGAGTGCTAAAGCAGCATGAGACCACCAAGGCATTTAATGAAATGTAGTTTTTATTTTTATGCGCGCTCATATTTAAAATACCCGAAAGTTATCGCGCGTCTGCGAAATACGAAATGAACTTATTCCGCTTCGCATGCGCGTGTCCGCCGATCGGAACATAACCATCAACAACTGCAGTGCCTTCCAGTGCGCCTTCAATGCCTCTGAGTGTTTTAATTTTCTCGTGAACTCTGCCGGTAGAAATTGTTCCATCTTCACGAAGTCTTGAATTATCAAGTAGGTATAAAGCTGTGCGCATAGTGTGCGTAATAAAAAACCGCTAATTGAAATTTCGTTCGATTACAAGCGATTAAATAAAACAGAGTGTTATGAAACAGCGTATTGTATTGCATGTGTGATTGAGTAAGTTTCAGCTGGTTGCGTAGCGCCCTGTAGGTGTTATTAACTTGCTTCGATTAATACATGTTAATCGGACGCCCGAAAGCCAACGGTATCGTAGGTAACGTGCGCGAATTTGCAAGTTGGCATCCGCGGGGCCAGCTTCGCAAGGAACCGCGCCGCGTGTGTGTACACACAAAAAATATACCGTTGGAATTTCGCGTGCGCTTTTCATTAAATGCCGAAGATATCGACCGATCGACCCATGCCCGCCGGCGCAGGGAAGCATCGCCGATATTTTTTTATTCCGCTGTAAGTCATATTGTGCGATGAAATTTATTCCCATGTATAAATCATAAATGTAATTAGTTATTATTAATAATTATATTAACCTGCAGGTATAAAAATCATATATAAATGTTTTGCACAGCGTCATAAACATATGAAACTAAAAAGCTGAAACCTAAACGATTCCAGTCGATGTCAGAGTCGTTCGAGCCCAGGCCATGCGGTTGATTTATATGTAAATGCAAATGAAGAACGCTCTCATAACTTGTGCAGCATATAGGGGCGTGTGCGTTATGCAAACCGCTCAAATTACTCAATCGCAATTATTGTGATTGTTCGAAGCAACGAACGGACGAGACTTAACTGGTACATAATAATTTATTCTATTAAACTCCACGCGACTTTTTGTTCTTGAAACGCAAAAAGCACAAAGACATAAAATCCAAAGTCATTCCATACATTGTCTTTGATTGCGCTCGCCAGTGACACAAGAATGGAGTTTGCAACATCTACAATTATGACAAACCTTATATTTATTAAGAGCGAAAAATGACTACACGCGAATCAACATTTTAAAAGCACTTTAAATGTAATATTTTTAATTATTATGAAATCCTGTTGCTGCGATACTTTTTTTTTCAATGTCTTTCTTTGTGTGTTGCGAAATATTAATTTTTTTGTCTTTTAATGTTACAGAGATCTTTCACACTCATCTTACAAGCAGTGGACCACAATAACTATTCAGATCCAGGTTAGTGAATTACTTAATTTCACAAATAACAATCACCAGGTTGATTTATTAAATTACATGATGAATGTGATGAGGTGTGCAAACGAGTGGGTGATTATTTAAATTTATTCCCCGCTCGGGGCTGCCAGCTACCAGCTTCTTCATGCTCAACGTTTATAAAGATTGAAATCGAGACACTGTGCGCGCGTACCGTTTCGCCTGCGGCTACTAAGGGTAGTTGGATGTTGGATTTCTACCTTCATTTGTTTCCAACGTGGCGTGTGCCAAAGCATGGGCGGCATTTGTAATGAATACGCATTAAGCGAAGAACACCCTTAGGAGAAACGTGCTCCACATTTTCATCCGAACATATATTACCGTCCGCAATGCCTGCGAGTGTCTCGTGTCTCGCGCAGCGTTTATCATTCGTTTATCTCGTGCTGGCTGTTGGTTGTACCGGCTTGATAAAGACCTCGAAGCGGTACGCTACCGTGTTACATGCGCGCGCCTTCTTCAACGTTAACAATCTTCGACTTACGACGTCCGCAACGACTTCTTCTTCGCCTGCTTCTTGCGACGTGCACAATGCGATTACGTTTCGCCCACGTGGGTACATTCACAAAGTGTTTAGACGTTCAAATTATCTACTTGGATGAAAAATCATTATTTATTAGGAGTTATAACTACATTTCCGTGATTTGTTTTCTTTCAACTTGAAAATTTTTAATTTTTTTTGTGTTTTAACAACACCTTGTCATATTATTGCGAATTTAAACGTGAATGAATATTGCCGTTTCATTGTGCCTTCGTGGTAGAACATGGATATTCTCTTGTTGAGTATGGGCGCGTGGGTGCAGCCCCAGCATCTTACAAGTCAATTTCAGTCCATCCGAGGCAGTGTAAACGGTAAAAATCACACGTGCTTGCGACACCAGTCGAGACAATCGTTGAAACGCTTCGAAACATATCTTCATCGTGTTTACAGCACACAACTCGTTGCTTTTCTTGTCTTCTGTTCACTCGAGAGGATGTACTCTTGACTTGGGTGCTCCTGCCGGGCACTTCTGGTTGATGATGATGATGCTTACGAGTGGTGCGTTCTGCCACCTTTCGAAACCTACGCACTTTAAAAGAAAATGTAAACAGTTTTAAAAATCGCTCTCAAGTGATGCTTCAGAAACCATTCTAATAATGATTGTGATTTAACTATCTCTAAACGATGTTTTCTGTTTGTTTATAGTGAGTAACAACCTGATAGAAGAAGCCACGTATTCAGGGATCATCGATCCGAGTGCAGATTGGCATACGTTGGACTTCAAAGGGAGGCAGGCGAGGTTGACTTATCGAGTACGAGTACAGTGCAATACACATTATTATAATGCAACGTGTACGAAATTCTGCCGTCCGCGAGATGACAAGTTTGGACACTACATGTGTGATTCAAACGGCGACAAGGTGTGCATCGATGGATGGAAGGGCAACAATTGTGAGACGGGTAAGTTCACATCATCGCGCACAATGGCGTGTTTGACTACTTATCCGGTGTGTGTGAGGCATCGAGCTAATTTCGTAGAATCGCTTTTTCGTGATGTACTCGTGATGCAGCGCGCCATGCTGTTAACTTAACAACTGCGCGCTTTTATTAAGCTTTTGCATTTCGTGATCGACGAGTGCAACAGCGCCAAATAACAGCTCAACAACAACGTGGAAACTCTCTAAGGAGGGACGTTCGGTTAATGACAATTAAGCGGCGGTGCAACGAGTTGAAATGGCTGTAAACACGCCATTTTCTCAGCACGTTTGGATGCTGAGTTTAAAACTTTCATTGTTCAATTTTTCGCATAATTAAAAAACATCGTGATTCAATTAAAATAAAATTTTTTGAAAAAATTTTTTTTGCTTTCTTCTTTTCAATAAATATTTATTATATATTTTTATTTCTTTGTTACAGCTAAATGTAAAGATGGATGCCATTCAGAGCATGGAAAGTGCGATAATCCATGGGAATGCAAGTAAGTATTCATCTTCTTACTTAAAATCTTTAAAAAAATATATTCAATATGTTGGTAATTGTAAAATGTAAAGTGGGTTTAGCATTTTTTGTTTCTTTTTCGTCGAAAGTCTTTTGTATCACAAGAAAAATTAACCGCATGCATATTTACAGTTTTCTGTAAGACAATATTACGAAATAGTAGCATAAAAAGCCGGAATTGCGCACCCTAGTAAATTATACCTGGTGCTATTCAGCCACCGCGATGCAAAACACAAAAAGCTGTGAAAAGAAAGCAGCCGGAGTGCAGTTGTTCGGTGCGTGGTGTGACGTGTTGTTACTGTTTCGCCGTTTCCTTTTGAATATGGCGTCGCGTCGAGGAATAATTGCGCTTAATTTGATTTGTGCGCTGTTATCGAGGAGCAAAAATTGCTGCCTTCGTCCGGCGGTCGTTTGGGCCGTTTGTTTGCAGCGACCAATGGCTGACACCGGACGGCTGTGTGGTGAACCTGGCCGGCATACATCGAGTCACGATCGTGGAGAATCTCATCCGCGATCCGGCGCGGTGGCAGCCACCCAAGCAGCCACAGGCTAGCAGCACACGACGGATGGAATCGAGAAAAAAACCGGCCAACATATGAGAGACGACGCACATACAATAAATAAACGCATTCGATGTGCATATGAAAGCAAACACGTAATTTTCGGTGCTAGCCGGGCATAAATCTAGTAATTTTCTTTTAGGAATCACAGAATAATGCAACCCAACTTACAATTATTTAATATTTTTATATTTTTTTTATTAAAAATTTTAATTTTTTCTTAGTTGTCGAATTGGATGGCGTGGCGAATTCTGCGATCAGTGTGAACCGTATCCAGGATGTAAGCACGGCTACTGCAATGGTTCCTCATGGCAGTGCATATGTGATACCAATTGGGGTGGCATCCTCTGCGATCAGGGTAAGTTTCACACAACAATAGGAATTAAATTAACCCACACTCGACACTTGCGACGCGCGGCGCACTTGTGCGCGAAGCGAATTACACAATATTTAACGCACATGTTACATTTCCGATCGTTTTTTACCGACAATCAAAATAACTAAACCGAAAGGGTTGAATTAGTCATCGTATATCCGCGACACATACGATCAAGTACACTACACTTAATGCGCCCCATGTTTATTACCCGTATCCGACCTCAACGTTACCCCAAAATAAACACAATAGACCGTTTTTTTTTATTTTAACGCAGTTTAATGTAACGCATCCCCTAGAGTGGCCTGAATTACAATTGAATCAATTCGAGCAGTTTTTTATGTATTTAATGTCTCAATCGTTCATTGCGAAGGGAAATTGAACATTTGGGCAAGTGCGTGCTTGCATGGTCACGCATATTAATTTCATTAATCCATCTGTTGAATTCGTATGTTTTTTTAGATATTATACGAGTACAGTTGGCTATTTTTGTACGGCACGTAGTGTCACCGGCGCATTCAAGCACGACTCGCCACTAAATTAAGTCGTAGGGGCAATGCGTCATGTCATTGGGGTGTAATGTTTTTTTTTAACGTTAATATTCACGATTTATTATTTCCATATAATCACTTCTCTAACTTCTATACGTGTAGATTTCCCCGAAGAAGAAACCGACACCTCAGGAAACATTAAAATTGTGCTATGAATATTTAATTTTAATGCGAATGCCAACGATGGCATTAACACGCAACAAATTATTCAAAATTAATTTCAATTAGCGCTGTGAATTACCTAACGCTTGTGGTGTGATGCGCTGCGTTTTTCTTATTTTGTGTTTATCGTGTCGCGACGATAACGTGAGCTTTCGCCGGGCCGCGCGCGCGCCACGCGCAAAACTATAAATTTATCGAAACCATAAAAGCGCGTTTTATTTGTACGCCAGCAGCGTGTACGGCCAGCCAAGGACTAATGGCCGTTAATGTTTGCGCCACGAAACACGTTCCACGTGTGTGTTAATCTTTTCGTTAGGAAAAGTTTGTGAACCTAGGCGGGCTGACAAAAAATCCGCGAGTTTTCTATTTTTGCACACGCCGTCGAACGTTAACGAATTGCGCATAAATTACGAATTTATGTTTTAACGCAAACGTGATATAATCACATTACATACCAGCGGCTACAAAAGGGGCTCGAGTCAAAAAAAACGCTAAAATGATTAAAGATATTATAGTTGTATGGCTGGAAGCGTCGTGAAGCTGCATCGTAAAGCGGCTTTAAAGCCTCCCATTCGAGTGCTACTTAAGCTTCTGAAGTTCTTTTTTTGTGTGTTCTTCGATAATGCTTCCGTTTTTAGGAATAGTTTGATATCTATGGGAAACTCGAATAGCTCAGGTTTTATTTTATACCATCATGCATTCAAGAGGGTTAAACAACCACTTTTGACACATTTTTTAGCTTCTGGTTGAGCCCAAAATTAATTCCAACAAAAAATAAATAATAATTACTCTTATGCAACCAATTAAGTAATAACTGTTCTCGAGTGGATGCATTTGCTTCTGACAAACGAGGAAATGCAACATGAAAGTACATCGTCGGAAATTAATTTTATTTATTAACATAAAGCCACCTTTGTGAACAGCACCTCGCTGGAACTGAGAACACATAATAAAACGAATGCAAACGAAGAAAGGAGGTACTTACATTATAAATTAATGTCGTCACTTTTTATTGTCGCGCCAGAAGAGTCACAGTTACCAACAACGCAACAACATAACAACGCTTCATTAGTCTCTTTGAACATGTGCGTAGAATAACGGCCGGAGATAATAAATGTTGGTTACCTGGTTAAATTTGAAAGAAATCTTTGATTTAAGCAATGAAAATTTAAATTTTGATATGCGATGAGATGAAATGTGTTATGTAATGCGTTGAAAGTGCCAAAATCTAGAAACGTGTGTGAATGGACGTGAAAAGCACGAAACGAAGCTCTTCATCTCAGGTGTCGTGCACGTATGATGATGCATGATGATGAAAATGATGCATCGCCGCGTCCGCACCGCGAGAGCAGCAGCAGCAGCACACAGCCGGGTCCGGTGTGCGTTTTTGAGGTCCTCTCCGTGTTTAGTAAGCGCTCGCGCACCTGTAAGAAGATCCCACGGTATTTTGCTTACATCCATCCTCGATTCTCGTACGGCGTGCGCACAAACACACTCGGTTCGTACTACTTAATATTTTCCTTGACAGCTGTCCCCCTGTGCGCCTCTTGTATTCTCCAGCACTCAACACACGTTCGAAAGCAAACAATTAAAATTGAAAGCACGAAAGCCCAGCGCGTTTATCTTCATAGAGAGAAACAATTGCAGTTTTTAACATCTTACGGTTGTTTAATTGTCAATAAAATTAATTGTTAATATTTTTGTTTCAGATTTAAATTCATGCGGGACACGTGAACCGTGTCAAAATGGCGGAACTTGCGAAAATACCGCCCCTGATAATTACCGTTGCACCTGCCCCGAGGGATTCTCTGGAACCAATTGTGAGGTGGTGGACAACCCTTGTGCGCCTGCGCCGTGTCAACATGGTGGCACATGTATGGAGGCGGCTGGCAGCTTCACGTGCGAATGCGTGCCTGGATGGACGGGACCCACGTGCGAGATAGGTAAGCATCTGCGGTATTTCTTTGTCTGACCACCTGCGGACGCTTAACGCGCTACTCGGGATTAATTAAAATGCGCGCCTAATTATTGTCCTTCGAGTTTTATTCGTCTCCCAAGTGCGTTAATCTAACGGCACAAATGTGGCATTGCATTTTTACCATTTTACAATTAAAATTCCAGACTCTGCGTATAATTACACGAGCGTAAGCGTGTGCGTAAGCGTAGCGCGTGTGCGTAAGCGTAGCGTGTGTATTGTGATTTTTACCAGTGCGCAAGAAAGATGTTAGCTTTTTGTGCGTGTTGCCTGTCTGCTTGTTACCAGGTTTCATGTTATTAACAACACACGCTTGGCTTTTTTTTTAATTAAAAGCGAGTCAAAGTTGGAGCCATTCCAACAAATGCTCACTTTTCTGTGCGCTCTGGAACCTGAAAAACGAACGATTAATTATGAAGTTACGTAAAATCTTAATTGCGATCGATAGCGAACGCTGCGGCCAACGGTCGTGATCGCGGCGCGCATCCTTCCTGATTAAAACTTAATTAATTTCAAATACACGAATGCGCACAAGAGGGTTGGCTTCATGATGCACCAGCAAGAGTAGGAAAACTTTATAACAAATATTTCATTGATTATCTTTGAATGTGCGCATATCCTGGTTGTTGCTGCGTCGTCGGTTGCTTACTGATCTCGCTGCGTACGCACCGTCGCCGATTATTGGGGGGCGGCGTCATCGAGAAATTAATAGCGAGCGTAAATAAAAATAGAAGGCAGCTCTTCTTCGGTCGGCGTGTTCGGGTTGTGTGTTTCGTTCGGTATAAATCAGCGGCTTTACCTAGCAATTACCGTCGATCGTCCCCCCCTCGTAAGCCGCGCTCAGCGCACGACTTAAGTAAGCGCTGCAGCAGCCCCCCCGTTATTATATCTATTTGCTCGACTAGACTCTCTCACCCAAAGTGCATCGGGGAGACTTAATTATTGCGCCGCGCACTTTGCCTTCTTCGTTAATCCTTTCCTCACATACAGCGTGTTTAGATTAAAAAAAATAAATTTTAATTAATTTTATCGCCTATTAGATATAATGTTGCGTGAGATATTTTTTTATTAATTAAGTTAATTTTTGATTTTTTGAGATTTTGCATCCGGCATGTTATAGGAGCGTGCGTGGTGTGGTACGCGCTCTTCGTGGAGCGCTTTTCAACTCGCGGAGTTGCTCTTCACCTCTGACCTCGCATTCCTCTCCTGCCACCTTATCCGACACGAAGTTACCTCTCACATCGCATGCAACTTAGTGCTCTCGGTCCGAAGCAGACTCGATTTTTTCTCTCTCCGCCTATACTATGCAAGAATCATACAGCGCACGTTGCTGTGTTCGTCCGTGGCTTGCGTTGCTCTAAGACGCAGAATGACAAATTTTTAATTGTTTGCGTCTATTAATCACAACCTGGGAAAAATGTTTGCAAATTTCTTGCGCTTTGTGCAGCTGAAAATGGAACATTTATACGTTCCCAGCGTGTAATCTGGTAATTTGAAGGCATTACTTTTGCGCTCTTCGCGCATGCGGAGTGATAATGCGCTCGCGCAGCCCGATGCGGCGCGGATCGATTTATTAAAACGTTCGTGCACGCTGCGCGCCGCGCACGCAATTGATCGTTAATAAATTAGCTTTGGCGCAACGGAACGTTTCGGTAATTTATTTACACGCGCTCGCGCGCCGCTGAATGAGATGAACACGTACGAACTGGATTATCACTTTGTGGCAGCGGCGGGCTGCGCAGGACGACTGCGTGCGATGCATGCGCGTGATCGAATCATGATCGATGCGGCGCGGCGCGTTTTACCGTTTGCCCTTAAGTCGCACACACGCGGTGCGAATAAAAAGTTGTGAAAACTTAATTTATTGCATTCGGATTTTTGAAATTTTGGATTATTTTGTTACGTAGTTGGCACACAGAACACTTGATGCATAAGCCACTCGTGGGAAACGCCATAAACTCTTCGCATACACACACAAAACATTTGTTTTACCAAATATACATTTTGTCTTCCATTCTATCAACAAGTCAGCGGGATACATTTGTGATTGTGACAGATGTGATTTTTCGCCGCTGTGATTTTCACACTGTATGCCTTGGATTTTTATTTGATTTGTGTCTTTATTTATTCGAACATTTAGAAAGCTCGGTGCGTTTGTCGCATGTACGGACGTCGTGTCTTCCATTTTGTGACTTTTTCGAAGCGCGCGCGCTCACGCGCGTTTACATTTTACAGCCTTCTCGTTTCATGCACGTGATTATTTTACTAATGCCACACACGCGCGCGCTGCTTTTGTAAAGTCAAACGCGAGGGAAGTGTCATGGAGTTAAGAGAGACCAAAGTTTAGCTCGGTGCGCCCGGAGTTATTTGTTAAATGACGCCATAAAATGTCGATCCGTTGGGGGCGCGCGTGACGTGCGCTTCCCGCATGCGCAGCATGATTACATGTCGCCAAATTGTACGTGTGCACCATTTATTTGCGCCGTGCACGTTGTGCACGCAGTATAATCGATTGCGAACTATTTGCGTACGGTACGCGTATACGCGCAACAGGTGAAAGTTAAAACATTTCGATAACATTTAATTTCGTTATAGAAAATATGGATAGGAAATGCGCGTTGTACCTTTACGAGAGCAACACGGTTTAGTGCGTCTTGTCGTTCTCCCGTCAGCTTGCGTTTTACTAGCGAGATGTTTATCTAAATGTCCGAAAGCAAGCTGTACCGGGAGACTTGTCAGCTTGGGGAATTTATTGTGCCTCATTTGGAATGACAATTATACCAGAAAATGAATGAACTGAACCTAATGCTTTTTTTTTTACATCCTCTCCACCGAACTTTGAATACCGTGTAAAGAACTATGGCTAAGTAATTATACGCTGTATCTTTTGATTTTATAATGGTGTTAAATATGTTTGAAACACACGGTAGGGTGCGTTACGAATGCGCTCGGGATTATGGACATACCAGATCTTTCAGCGATCGGACGATATACTCGGAGATATCCTGCGGTACAAAGAAAGAGTCCGGGTCGCAGAGAGATCGCCGTCAATCAAGTCTTTATTAATTAACCGGTGACTGCGCGTCGGAGTATGCACGTCTCGCGGCAGTGGCGCTCCGTTGCGGCCACGTCGATGGCGATATTAACGCAAAAAATCATGCTCTTTGTTTGCCTTCGCAGATATTGATGAATGCGCCTCGTCTCCGTGCCAGAATGGCGGTACCTGCATTAATCTCGAGGATGCCTTCAGGTGCGACTGTTCTCCTGCATGGGAGGGCAACCTGTGCCAATTTGGTAAGTTAATAAAAGCCACAATGGCGCTTTCTTGTTTCTTGCCGTTTTGCACGTGCATTCCTGATTTTATGCGAGTTTGTTTTCACTGGTTTTGTCTTGTTTTCTGCTTGTTTTGTTTGATTTACAAATTGGGGTTGTCAAACTCAAGTAACTCGCAAAAATCTTGTTTTTTTGATGTTTGATATTAATTTGGTTGTGTTTGTTGCATGATTAATGTTCAGACGCCAACGAGTGTCTGCTGGATCCGTGCATCAACGCAGTGGCGTGCACTAATCGTGTCGGCGACTATCACTGCCAGTGTCGCGTTGGCTGGGCCGGCCACAATTGCAATCAGAACATCAACGATTGCGTCGGCCAGTGCCAGCACGGCGCGACGTGCATCGATCTCGTCAACGACTATCATTGCGCCTGCCCACCTGGATATACAGGTACAATTTTTTATTTAATTTTTGGTACCATTTTATCTGCGGATGCCAATAAAAGCCGCGCAAAAATCACTTATCCCGGCGGCATCGGCTTCGCGCGCCTCTGAAATTGAACGCGCACGCAAATGTAAAAAATTTGGATAGCAATCGCTCGCGAGATGATATTTTACGACCCTTTGATTCGGATCTATCTCTCCCACTGGGGGCACCACACTCGTTTTGCCTCCGCGCGGCGAGCAAATAAACATTGATCGCATCTGCCGAAACACTTCGTGCGAAACGCGCGAGGCGGAATAAGTGAATGTGTCATTAAAATCGCCGCGCCGACGTGTGAATGATGCGATAAAGCAAAAGCGGAGCGCGACCCTATCGCGACTTGGTCGCTGCCGGCTTATGCTGCGTCGCATGCAGATTTAATGCGGCGGTCGGGCTGAGGACCGGCGAAAAATATAACGCAATTAATTTTTGTAGGCCGCGACTGCGCCACGGACATCAACGACTGTGCCTCGAATCCGTGCAAAAATGGCGGCGAATGCGATGATCAAGTCAACGCCTTTCGATGCATCTGTCCCGTGGGATTCACCGGCCACGAATGCGAGGTAAGAAAAAGTTTCGTGTTAAGAAAAAGCTGAATTTATTTTTAATGAAGTTCAGAAGTCCAGAATGATTGGATAATGTCATTTCGGTGTTTTTTTTACCGCATGAAGGCGATGATTGTCAACGAGGTGCCAAGATTACACCGAAGAGAAACCACCTGAATTATCTATAATGACTGGGTGTTTAGTGATTTCCTTGAGGCTGAAGGCGGCGTTTACGTTTTACGCGTTGGCGCTTGTGTTTAAACGTCTAAACGACTGCGTGGTCAGCCTGCAGGGACAATTTATAAGAAGCAGCGTGCGCGCAGCTTCATCATCATAATGATACACAAGCGCACGGCGCGCCACAATCATCGCATTCATCTCTTCATTATTTTATTGTTTATTGTCTTCTACATGCTTGCCGCATGTTGTACAATGTTACATGGGTTTGCTTGTTGTGCAGAACGACCATGACCACTGCAGCCCCAATCCTTGCGAGAACGACGCCCCGTGCCTTAACACACAAAGCGATTACTACTGCCATTGCCACGAGCGTTGGCAGGGAAAGAACTGCAGTACTCCGCGGATTGTCTGCGATAATCCACCATGCGACGATGGTAAGTACAGTAGTATGTGGATTTCCGGTTTGATTTTCCGGTTTGATTTTCCGGTTTGGGTTGTTTTGCATGGCCGCTAGGCGGCGTTGTGGAGTGTTAGTAGGATTCGTTAAGCTCTTCGTTAAAAACGAAATAAATTTTGGAATTACTCGTGCTGAACGCACATTCGCGACCGCCGTGACGCGCCGGTTGACAGGCAATTTCTTGGTCTTCCTCGCGATGCCGGCGCGCGGTTGGCGGTCCCTTGCGGACGCGTCCCGCTGCGCCTCGAAATAGAGCCCACGTGAAGAAACGAGCAAACGGAGAAAACGTTACCGCAAACCTGTGTGTGCGTGTCGGAACATTACCGCACCGTACTTCTGCGTTCGTTGTTGAAATTCCTAAATTTTTGGTGCATTTGCAGGATTCGACTGTATGTTGTCGTCACTGGTTGGCGGCCGACTCTCTGACGTTGACATGTGCGGGGAACATGGCCAGTGCGTCAATCATCTAGGCTTCGGGTACCGGTGTTCCTGTAAACCGGGCTATACAGGGAAATACTGTCATGAGAGTGAGTAATCATTTTAGAATATGTGTGATTTGATTTATTCTAGAGTAAATCATAATTATTTTATTGAATTTTCTTTTTTTATTAGATATTAATGACTGCAAGGCGAATCCTTGCGAAAATGGCGGCACTTGTATTGACAAAATCAACGACTTTCAATGTATTTGTAAAGATGGCTGGGAGGGAGCTCTGTGCAATATAAGTAAGTTAACTAATATCTTAATTATTTAAACGCGTTAAAAATTAAAAACAATAATCAAAGGATTAACAATTAACAAAAATAATAAATTATTATAGATACAGACGAATGCAGTGCAACTCCTTGCCATAACAATGGAACTTGTATTGACAAAGTGGCTGACTTCCAATGCGACTGCCGTAATGGCTGGAAAGGTAAAACATGTCAATTGAAAGACAGCCATTGCGATCATTCTACGTGCAAAAATGGTGGCACGTGCCAAGATTTAGGCAACACTTTTGTGTGTCGATGCCCTGCTGGTTTTGACGGAACAACATGCCACCTATCCAAGAGAACCGCGTGTCGTTCAAATCCTTGTCTCAATGGTGGTACTTGCGTTAACAATGGCGATTATTATCAGTGTTTGTGTCGAGAAGGATTTGAAGGTAACCATTGTCAGGAAGACGTCAACGATTGCAATCCACAACCCTGCTACAATGGCGGAAAATGCATCGATGGAGTCAACTGGTTCTGGTGTCAGTGCGTCAATGGTTTCACTGGTCCTGATTGCCGAATCAACGTTAACGATTGCGCCTCTAATCCTTGCGGGTATGGTGCAACGTGTGTGGATGGTATTGCAGATTTTCAATGCATCTGTCCCCCTGGAAAACGTGGTAAACGTTGTCAATGTAGGTTTTACAAAACTTTTTATTTTGTTACGTTTTATTAATTTTTACATTATTTCTTATTTTAGTTGATGATATCTCGTACTTACCACTTCCGGGAAGCTGCAACTGGCAAGGACATTTTCTGGAGAACAATTCAACATGGCAGCACGAGTGCAACACGTGCGTTTGCATCAACGGAGCTGTAAAATGCACGCGCATCTGGTGTGGGCTGGGTAATTGCCGCGCTGGACACAACAACCCTAACTATCTCTGTAATAACAATCAAGTTTGCGTACCGATGACGGAAACATGTCTCACACCACCGTGCCATCCATATGGCGAATGTCGTGATTTGGAAAGTGGGCGACGTGTGAAACCTCCTTCACTTCCTGCGCCGAGTTCCTGTTGGCCTAATCAAGCAATTTTGAGTAACACATGCGCACGTCTTACTCTTTTGGTGGACAGGAGTAAACTTCCCAGAGGTGTTACCGTTGAAGGGCTCTGTAATGATCTTCGACGTTTATTGGCAAATTATGAACTAGCCAATGATTCTCTCAATGATTTAGTTTTGCTTTGCGACTTAAAACTGGAGTATAACGATTCAGTTGAAGTTACTTTAAGTGGAAATGATGGTGTTATCGATGGAATTCGTATCCTTGGGGAAGCAATTTCACGCAAGCAAACTTCGTTATTAGCTCTCACGTCTATAGTAGAAGTTAAAGTTGAGACTGCTTTGGTATCTGAAGAACCATCCAGCAATAAATACCTAATAACGTTAGTTTTCTTCCTCATCATACTTCTCTGCGCTGCTGGGCTTTCAGTTCTATACTTTTTGCGTCAACGCAGACGGAATTTAGGCCTTAGTGGAATGAATCTATCACCAAGCTCGGAATCTTGCCATAGGAATCATGAAGATGAAAAGAATAATCTACAGAATGAAGAAAACCTCCGAAGATATGCGAATCCTTTAAAGGATGATGTTGGAAGTTTAGCTAGCATCAACACTGTGGCGGGTTGTGGGCTGGATATGCCTAAAGTAAGTGTAGTGCGGCCAATTTCTTCAATACTGCCGCATGAATCATCCAGTGAGATGCTCGAGATGATCTCTGAAACGGAGTGCGCTGGATCACGCAAGGGAATGCTTGTTGCACCCGGTACCAGCTCAGAGCATTCGCTGAAGATCAACGACATTGCCTTCCATGACGGCCTTAAACCGGCGCACCGCAGCAGTCAGATCATGCTCTACAAGGCGCAGAATCCTGACGTACGGAAAAACACAGCCGCCTTTGACGACTCTTCCGGCCACAAGGACTTCAGTAAGAGTGTGATCAATGTGAACAAACCACGGACATCGTCGCAACATACGCACGGTTGCGGCAGTGCAAGCGCGGATGTGCTCACGGTGCTAGTTTAAATTTGCTAGAGTAGCACCGCTCACGGAGGGGCCAGTGTAATAAATAGTAAAGTAATGTCAAGCCAATGTTAGGCAAATCTAAACAATGTAAATCGAGGCAATGTGTAGTCGAGCCGAACCGATAATATCGATAATGTGACACAATATTTTCTTCCTCACATTTTAGAATGTCACTTTCTCGCCAGAATATTTTGATAAGTGCTAGCTGCAAGCTGTAAGCAAGCTATTTATGATCTCGTGATGATATGATGAAAGAAAATTAAATGACGACAAGATTATGTATGTATTTATCGATGTATCTGATATATCTGATGGACGTCACAAATCACGATCGGTTTGTCTCTTTAGTGTGATATTATTTAATACTTGAGTTTGTTTTTCTTTCCTGCGCAATTTTGTTAGCAAATCTCTATAGTTCTACTATTTTTGCAAGGTTCATGCATTTCTGTTGAACTTAAACTTGTGGAGAGAGCACATAAATGCAGGAACCAACTTATTTAATTAAAATACGGCAATCATGATGAATGTTGAACGCGATGATTGGTGTAAATATTTTTGTTTTTTGATTTTTTATAGTATTTTATGTTTTTGCGTATGTATTTATTTATAATTTGTTCCTGATATACATGTAAACTATTGTAGTTTATTATAATTTTTGCCGGAGAAAGAAAGAAGTTCTATGAAACGTAAAGAAAATCTGTAAAGTTGTAACTGTTTTACATCTCGACGTCGAATGGAAACTATTGCGACTTCATTGGCAAATGCAATCGTCGAAATGTAGAACAGAGTTATATTTATAGTGATACTGTACTAAGTTAAGCGACAATTGTACATATGTATATATTAAGAGATTATTAATTGATTGCGCGATACGTCGCGACAGATTTATAGAAATTTAGCTATTCCATATTGATAATACTGTAATTTATGATATGTAAGTGACGGCGCATGTTGAATTTTCGATTATCTGTGTCTTATTTGCGCGTACTTATCGATGGCATTCACACTCACTGTTTCGTTAACGGGACTTAACATCGAACGTTTAAGAGAACGTTGCAAATGTTAATAATCATTAAGTATTCTTAAAGAGAATATCGTAAATATCGTCGATTGTTGCGAAAACAGGCGATACTAACATTTCAAGTGACGAAATTTTAGATTTAATTAATTCTATTTTAAACTATTTATAAAAGATAATTGTATGTTGTATAGATAACTTCTGTTCCCGGCTAAATAGTCTAGCGTTTAATTAGTTCTTAAAGTTTAATAGAGACCAAGGCGATAAATATCTGATATATAATTGATGTATATTATGTAAAGAAGATAATTTCATGAATGTACTAATTTTATAAAAATTGATTCAGATAAAAAATATTGAAAATATGTTTCTTTCTAATAATTTGTTCTGGAACGTTGTTCTGGTTTTAACATGTGTGAAGGTAGCGTTAGAATTCATTGAGCCGATCGACGCTGTTTGCTCAACGAGAGTTCCCGATCAGTAGTATATAGTGGACAATGACAACTTTGCAGCCATTGTTTTACTGCCCTGCATCGAGTCTTGTTGCCGATCGGTAGTGCTCTCCAACTTCGGCCTCACATAATCTGAATTTTAAATAACAAATAAATCAAATTTTACTTCTATGAAGTTCCTCAAAGTGTAAAGTGAAGTAAAACCGTAACAATGTTATCGATTGTGACAATAACCTCCTAGCAAATGGCTGTAAGTTATAAGGAGTGGTGAGTTCGGTTGTAACGATAACTCAGCATTATTTACATCCATATACCTAACACCGCGTTGACGATAACTACTCGTTAGTACGTTGTCGAGATTCTTTGGTTTTTGGTAGTGTTGTAGTTACATCGACTGAAAAACCGTCGGTTTTTTTACGGCTATTTCTAAAAGAGCATTTCAATTGTGGCTCCCACACATGTTCAATTGAAATGCTAATTTACAGATTTGCCGTGGAGAAACTACCACATTGCAGCAGATATTTATGCAACTGCGCGACTGAAGTGAACTGAATTGCGGTTGGATATAGTTGTGTTGTGCAATAATGGAACAATTTATGGAGGAGTTTAATAAAAACTTTGCTACCAATAACACTGGTGCTGAACCAGCTGGTTGCCCATTTAAAAATGGGATAAATCCTCCATTACCAGCTGCACCTTTACCTGATGAGGTGGTTAAACCTCCACCACCACAAGATAATGAAGATGATTCATTACCAGAGGTGGTTAGCAATGGGATCAAGAAGAATGTGTTACATTCACCAGTCAGTGAAGAGAGCTATGGTTCTATGAAAACTGAAGAGGACAGTTCTTCATTTGCAATGGGTGGTAATCAAAATGGACATGCAGTTAATCTTAATTCATTCCATGTTCTGGATGAAATTGAGAATGAATCTGACAATGAAGATTGTGATTCTTCTGATATGGATGTGCCTGATGATGAAATTGAACAAATGTTGGAGGATGCACTTACAAAGAAAAGGAAAGCAAATGAAGCTGGTTTAGGTAGCTATAAAATCTCACAATTTAATTTAGATTTGTTATTATAACTAAAAATAAATATTTATTTTACTATTAGATGAAACACCTGCACCATACAATGAAAAAGAAAAAACCGTCCTTATAGACAAAGGAAGCAATCATTTTGACATTCTCCCAGAGGGGTGGGTAAAAGTAACACACAACAGTGGCATGAATATTTACTTACATCAACAATCACGCGTGTGCACCTTATCGAAACCGTATTTTTTGGGTCCGGGCAGTGCCAGGGTAATTATTACTATTTACCTACATTTATATAATATGAATACATTGTGTTTATTTCCAGAAACACGACTTACCAATAAGTGCCATACCTTGTTTAAATTACAAACGTGCTCTGGAGGATGAACAAGCCGCAAAAAAGGACAAAGCCGCACAGGAACTCCCCAACGCGAAGATTGAAACCGTCAGCGAGAATAACAAATGGAATAATTTGAATCCGGAACAGGTTCGAGCGTATTGTGAGAAACTTTTCCAATTCCGTACGATTAAAGTAACGCGTTTTAAATCTTGGAGTGAGAGGCGACAATTCAGCAAGAAAAAGAAACAAGAGAAACAATTACAACGACCGACTTTACCTGATGGTAAAATTAAATTTTAAAATTGTTGATGACAGTGTGATTGTTTTTTATTATTTTAATAGGAACAAAGCTAATAACATTTCCGATACAAGACAATGATGGTGAGCCGGGCGCAACGAAAAAAGAATGGATAATGAACCCCAACGGAAAGTCATACGTTTGTATTCTGCATGAATATGTGCAGCATGCGCTGAAAAAACAGCCCACGTATAAATTCAACGAATTGGAGAATGCTGCAATGCCATATGCAGCAATAGTATCTATTAACGAAATGCAGTATGGTGTTGGTTATGGGACGAGTAAAAAGCAGGCTAAATCGGAAGCGGCTAAAGCTACCCTCGAAATTCTTATTCCAGAAATGAGGTTTAAGATTCTTACGGATGCTAAAACAGGCGGGGCGAGTACTTCGAAATCTCAAGATCAAGATTTATCAGTGAGTAGTAAAAATTTTTCAAAGTGTAGTGGAATTAATTGTTTTTTTATTTATTTTTACAACAGTTTTTTGACGAAATCCGGATTGAAGATCCGCGTGTAGCTGAATTCTGTGCGAAAACCACCGAACCATCTCCGCATGACATTCTTCTCACCTGTCTTCAGCGGAATTTTGGGGTGGGCGATTTGGAAATCAATTATCAGGGTCAAACCCTAAAGCATCAAAAGAACGAGTTTACTATGACTGTCGGTAAACACACTGCCACAGTAATCTGCAAGAACAAACGAGATGGAAAGCAACGTGCGTCACAAAGTATTCTACAAGCACTGCATCCCCATATCAATAATTGGGGTAGTATTCTTAGATTGTACGGAAATCGATCGATCAAAACCTTCAAGGAGAAAAAGCTCGAGGAACAAGAAATTACCTTGTTACAGAGCAAGGCGGCGGTGAATTCGCCGAATTTTGCAATTTTGAATAAGCTTAAGTTAGAGTTGGGCAAGTTGAAGGATAAACGCGATGCGATCAAACCGATAGGTGTCTTTGTACCGCCGAAGAATGAACATATACCAAATTTTTCTTCCTCCAATTTGAAAAATGTCGATTTATAAACGGTATTATATTTTACTTAGTAATGACCGCATTAAACCAAATTATGTGCTGCCCTAAAGGGAAAATTGCGAGAATTAGAAAGAAATCTGATTGCTTTAAGATAATAATTGTAAAAATCTGAGGACTTGAAAATTCGACAACGTTCGTTTTAATTATAATATTTATAAGTGCAAGTATTATAAAATGACGGATTTAGCAATTATGTACTGAAACTGTAATGTAACATTCACATATGTAAATTAATGCTTCGAGGGTATGAATTTGAATATCCCGCCATGCGCAGATTGCGCTGCACTCACTCAGCGCTTTCTGTATGTTGACTTTAGTCAGTCTTGTTCTGCTCGCGATGTGTTCCAGCACCCCATATTGAACGAAAGAAAACTGGCTTGTAACCGTGTGTGGTAATTAAGTGAGTGCTCTGAACGTGAGAGAGAAACCCCGCCAATTAAATTATTATCAATACGAAGGTAATTTAATTATCTAACTGTAATACCGCATGCTTTGTAATGTTGAAACCAGTGTGGTTTATGAATTTATTTTATCATTTGATTGAATACATAATGATACAATGATTCCTTAAGTTCCGCTAAGTTACTTCTACCGCTACCTTCGTACGGTGCCCTGAATGGGAGTCACTTCTACCGGTACCTTCGTATGTTGTTTATACGAATAAGAGAGAACGTCCACCATCTTTTCATTGCATTGGACTGCATCCACAACATGAATTGTTCATAGTTCTCATTCTTGACTCTTATCGGTGTTTGTGTACAAACAACTGGTTTTTTTTATTGCGTTGCTGCTCGTCCGGCGCGCTCAGCAGTGTTTGTTCTATTTCTTACTTAGTCGATCGTGTGCTGCGGCGTGGTTTGAACGCGTCTAGTTGAGCGGCGATTTTCGTGATGATTTATCGCATTTCTTGTGATTTTAAGTCGGTAGTTGAATTAGATTCTGCCAGCAAAAAAAGAATTTGAATTACCAGACAAGTGCGGCGTATAGTTATTGAGATATCGTGCGTCCGGAATTGTAAAATACGCAGGTATTTCCCGTCGGCCGGCGGATATCTTCCGTGGGCTAAGAATTCCTAGTGGTTTTGTCCTGTGTATTCATTAAATTATTAATTGGAATACGATTTCTGAACTTTTACACCCTGAATTTTACTTATTTTCTTGTCTTATCTTATAAAGAATTTTCCAAATTTTTATAATGTTGAATCCTTTGACTGCTAGCGCTTTTAGTTTAGATGATATTTGTTACCGAAATTATTCAAAGAGCATGATGCAGCAATATTTTTTAGTTATTAATTATTTTCCATCTTATTTTCCAAATTTTATTATCTTATCTTTTAAATTATTATTTTTTGGGTTAAACTTTTAACGAGACCTTATGGATATCTTGGACCAGCTGTGAACCGCATGCTTCTTCAACGATTTCAATGATTCTATCAAATATTGACAGGCCAAGAGGTATTTATTTATTTTTCTTTTGCCAGCTGTAGTGTTGCAATTATAACACTACACTGAAATGGAAATAAGTATAAGTTTACTGACATTAACGTGTTTATAAAGTGTAAAATATGCTTTACAAACAACATGTGTGTTAACTAAGCCTCGGTGTAGGTTGACACAATCGACACAATTATACATAAAATATATTACATAAAACATAAATATATAAAGTTTTACATTTGTTTTTATTAAATTAATGTAATAACTTATATAATTATTAATTTCAATTTTACGATGTCTAGTGTTATAAATGTATCACTGTAGCACTGAAATGGAAATAAGTTGTATTTTACTGACCTACATACATATAAAGTGTGAGTAACCTTTACAAAAATGTTTGTGTTGAATGAGCCTTAGAAGAGGTAAATAAGAAATACAACTTAAACTACTCTAAAAACACCTCTAAACTTCAGCAATACTTCGCTTTTGTATTACTTCTGGTTCGTTATTATGCTAATGAAGTTTTGTTTTCACCTCAGGTGGATGTGGAAGCGGGTCATCAATCTGCACTTATAGGAGTTTACACCTAAGTCTGACATCGTAGAAGGACCATTCTTGCATGAGATTGTAAGTATTTAATTTCATTATCATTTTCCGAAATAACTTTTGCGATTATCTCACAAATTGACCTCCAAAATTGCATTTTTATGTTCGAAGGATTAATTTTTGCTTGTTTTAGTGGTATTGCACCTGGGTCTAGCATCGTAAAATGACCATTCTTGCATCAGATTGTGAGTATTTAATTTCTTTATCATTTTCCTAAATAACTTTTGAGATTATCTCACAAATTGACCCCCAAAATTGCATTTATATGTTCAAAGGGCTAATTTTTGCTGGTTTTATGGACATTGCACCTGAGTCTGACATCGTAGGATAACCATTCTTGCATCAGATTGTAAGTATTTAATTTCATTATCGTTTTCATAACTAATTTTTGTGAGTTGCTCATGAATTAGTGACGAAAATTGCATTTCTGTGTTGCATAGGACCACTTTTTGCTTGTTTTAGGTGTTCTGCACCCGAGCCTGATGTCGTAGGAGAACCATTCTTGCATCAGATTGTAAGTAATTAATTTCTTTATCATTTTCACACATAATTTATATGAACAACTTATGAATTAGCGAAAAAAAATTCCTTTTTTGTGTTTCGAAGCACTGATTTTGCTGGTTTTCGGGATTTAGCACATGAACGCGTAATATCAGCGAGGTCCCTAAAGATGTAAAATTTAATTCATCATTGCGTTATATTCTAATGTCGTAGGAGATGTACCTGTAGAACGTGTATTGTTAGATAAATTGTACGTTTCGTACGTCGTTATGTCGATAACTTGTATCTGTTTGTTTATCACGAAGTATAGGTTTACATTTAGTCATTTTGAATAGTATATGGATTATATATAACATGGATTGTGTTTTATTAATATACCAGGATGATGATACTTTTATGAAACTTTGATCATGTTCAATCTATGTTCTTTATATGTTCCGCAGAATTTTCTACACTTTGTTTATGCCTTCAATTCGACCTTGGCATGCGCAGCACGCTGTGCGCTGCCATTTGAAATTTGAACAGTACTGCACTGGCCGCCGTCTATCGCCGGCTTCAAGTGACAATTCGCTATACTGCTCAGTACATTTTGCGCTGTCGTGTTAGCTATTGTTCTTTCCTGATTAGTCAGTGGGTGCTACGCAATTGTGCTGTGTGCACGTGTTCTGTTTCACCGCCGGTCTTCATCGCGACTGTTAGCATTTCGGGATACTTTAATACGGTGCGAGCCTTAGAATCGTTTAGTCATCGATTGCTATCAACTATTGAACACGTGATTTATCTCAAATCAACTCGAAACTTAAGCCATCAGCCGCCGGCCGGCGGATCTCTTTCGTTGGACTACGGATTCGAATTGGATTTATAGGCCAAAATGGTATTGTTAATTAGAGGGGATAAATCACGTGAGTAGTAACATCAATTCTACTAACAGTTCTACTTTGGGTGAAACGTTTGATAAGAGAGCGTTGTGACTTGATAGTACGTAGGATATAACTTGAATCGTACGTACGTTCGTTTTATTAAAAAAAATGAAGAATGTATTGTTAAATGCAATTAATAAAACTCAATTTAATATTAGAATCTTATTCATACTTCTTTGTGATAACCTCTTTGTCGTTTTCAGGATATGCGTCTTAAATCATATTTCAGATGAAGTTTATGTGAGTGCAACATAGCTAAGGCTTGTGTTGTTGTTTTTAAAAAAGTTGAATAAAGGAGAAACATAAATAGAAGAATCAAATATTAATGATAAAAACACTCTGTGGTCGAGTGGAGACGTGCACCTGCTGGCATGCTAGCAGACACGGATCGAATCTCAGGTATGGAAGGCATTTTTCTCAAATATAAAAATATCAGGTGTAATTTGGGTTGCATATATGAATTGCAACGAAATATAAGAGAAATTGAAATACAAGTGAAGGCAATACGAGAAGTAAGAAAGTAAGTGGAGAAACGAGAACAGAGAAATAGAAGAAGGAGTGAGTGAGTAGTAAAGAATAGGAGAAGATTGAAGGAAGAGAACAGAGAACAGAGTAGAGAAGAGGAAGAGATAGAGGAAAGAGAACAGGGGAGGATCAGATTTTTAAATTTTTTGGCACGTGTCGTTATAAGACAGTCACAGGTCGATCTCCCAGAGCGCCTCTGGCGCTCTGGTCGATCGCCCACTGCTTCGATCCGTCCATTGCTCCCGGCCCATCCTACAGCTACGATGTCTCTGCGCTTCATCCCCGAAATTATCAGGCATATCAACAATTTTTATGGTGGGGGATCACCCCCAGAGAGAGGGAACTCCTTATAAGGACAATCCTTAGGAGGCCTTCTTTAAATATTTCTGAGAGAGGGAACTCTCTTAGAGACCTGTTCCTGAAATGATAGAAGGCGAACACACAAATCAAAGATGTCAATATATCTTACTATTTCTTTATTAACAATAGAATACAAGTTTAGACTTTGCAAGTCAACAGAATACATGTCGCCATATTGAAACAGGACTTACGACCTGCTAAGCCGCGCACATATAAGCAAGTAGCACTTGGTACAGTTCTACCGGAATAATGAAATTAGCAAATAGTTCATTTTCTTGTTATTGACAATGAAAATAAATATACAGGGTGTTACAAAAAGAAAATTTAAAGTGCAAACAAAAAACTCTGGACACTACAAACGCCGCTCGTTTTCACTCGACGATCAGGGAAACTAATATACAGGGTGTTCCAGAAAGAAAATTAAAAGTGCAAAATGGAAAATCCTAAAAACAACAATTGAAGCAAAATTTTCACGGACACAAAAGAAAACTAATATACAGGGTGTACCAGAAAGAAAATCCCAAGTTCAAAACAATGAACATTCAAAACTCACAAATAAAGACAATCTTCTACGTGCGGTTAGGAAAACTAATAGACAGGGTGTTACAAAAAGAAAATTTTCGAGACTACAAAGATAATCAATATTCACATCATGACACGGGAAATTTATATGGAAACAACATTATTTTAATATAAATTAAAAGATTTCACATGAAAATGATCGGGAAATTAAGCAAAAAGGTGCTAGAAAAGAAAACAATTACATTTCAATATATTGTGAATATATATTTATTAATTAATTAAACCGACGGGTAAAATATCATCATAAATTGATAGAATATCCGGTGGAAAACATCTAAATCAACAGACGGCAAGCGACGGCGCGTGGCATTACTGTCTTAAAATACGATAAAAATAACTAAGTAATTCTTTGTAAATATTAAGATATACGGAGACTACAAAAACGAAGAACTATTCACCGTACAAGATTTTATTATGTCAACAAGAGACTTCTTAATTTAATGATGCTAACAAGTGCAATTCGATTAAAAACGTTCACGTGTTCAGCGAAAGGTTGACCGAGCCGACGGCCGACAGCAAACTGAGCGCGATCGACCACATGAATATTGTCATTTTAATAATCTACAGATTATTTTTAAAACCGTCATGGTAATAATTAAATCATGCATGTTATTTTCGGAAACGGGACTAATAATTCTGATAGGAATGGAACAACGTGTTTGTAATTTGCAAGATAATACAAGCAAAATTAATATCACTCAAATGGAATAATCAACTTAAGTTACACCGCCTTAAGTTTCCGTGAAAAAAATTTATTACACACGTACCTTTGCATTGATGAGGAAATTCTATACCTATCCTGTAATATATTCTACCAACTAAAAACTCGCGTAGGAATTGACAAACACTTATTTCTTAGTTAAGAAGATTCTAACCGCGACAAATCATTAAACAAAACAGCCGCACATGCCCGTCCCTAATATTTTGATGATGGCCGAAAGAATACACGTCGATTAATTCAATTAAAACCTCAAAACGCGTGGCGATTAGAGGGACACGACTGCGGACCACGCGGTGTAACGACTGCAGACCACGCGGTGTAACGACTGCCGTGTGCGCTGCGCGTTGCCAGGTACAAGGCAGGTACGTCGCGATAATACGCGTCAATCGAACAAAAAAGTTGTTTATAACAAACGTAGTGGTAAACCCGTAGTTGAAAAGACCAAACTAAAATTTCACAATGTTGAAATAACCAACATACACGAGTACAAGTGTACGAGTACGAGTACACAAGTGCGTATATACACAAATATCATTATAAATCGCGTTACGGAATTTTCTCGCAATAATTTTTGATACAGGGAAATAAAGAATTAAATTCCGCATCTAGGAAAATTATTATGAGCTAAGTTTAAGATCGCGTGCGCGTGTTATAATAAAAAAAACTACAATTCCTAGCGCAACGAGTACAAGTGCGTATACACACAACTATCATTATAACTCGCGTTACGGAATTTTCTCGCAATAAATTTCGATACAGGGAAATAAAGAATTAAATTCCGCATCTGAAAAAAAATTCCGAACTAAGTTTGAGACCGCGTTCGCGAGTTATAACAAGAAAACTACAATTCCTAGCGCAACGAGTACTAATACAAGTGCGTATACACACAACTATCATTATAACTCGCGTTACGGAATCTTCTCGCAATAAATTTCGATACAGGGAAATAATTAAATTCCGCAACTGGAAAAATTATTCCGAACTTAGTTTGAGACGGCGTTCGCGAGTTATAACGAGTAGTACGGCGCACACACACAACTATCAATATAACTCGCGTTGTGGAATTTTCTTGCAATAAATTTCAATACAACAAGATACAAAATTAAATTCTGCATCTGGAAAAATTATTCCGAACTTATTGCGACACCGCGTTCGTGTGTTATACTAAAAGAACTACAATTCCTAGCGCAACGAGTACTACGGCGCACACACACACACAACTTTCAATATAACTCGCGTTATGGAATTTTCTTGCAATAAATTTCGAAACAGGGAGATGCAAAATTAAATTCTGCATCTGGAAAAATTATTCCGAAGTTATTGTGACACCGCGTTCGCATGTAACACAAAAAAAAACTACAATTCCTAGCGCTACGAGTACTTCGACGCACACATACAACTTTCAATATAACTCGCGTTATGGAATTTTCTCGCGATAAATTTGAACATAGGGAGATTCACAATTAAATTCTGCATATAGAAAAATTACTCAGAACTTATTGTGACACCGCGTTCGTGTGCCACCACGTGTTTGTAATCTACAAAATTGATATCCCTCAAATTGAATAATCAATTTAAGTTAAACCGCCTTAACTTTCCGCGAAAAATTTTAATTATTCACCTACCTGTGCATTGATGAGATTTTCTATCCTGTAATATATTATATCAAGTGAAAACTCACGAAGGGATTAACGGACACTTATTTCTCACTTACGAAGACTCTAACCGCCATAAATCATTAAACAAAACAGGCACACATGCTCATTTCAAATATTTTGCCGATGGCCGAAAGAATACACGACGATTAATCCAATTAAAACCTCAAAACGCGTGGCGATTAGCGAGACACGCCAGAGGACCACGCGGTGAAACAACTGCCGTGTGCGCTGCGCGTAGCCGGGTACAGGGCGGGTATGCAGCGATAACACGCGTCAGTCGAACAAAAAAAGTTGTTTATACACAAACGTACTGATAAACACGTAGTTGGGAATACACATACACGAAATTTACTTTTACTTTCAATATTTCTCGGCATACGAAAAGAATAAATTAGTTCAATTGGAAATTTAAGAGATCAAATTTTAATTATTAAAAAAAAATTGTCAAGTACCCTTGATAATTTTTATCAACGATTTTCGATCATTAATATCTCTTAAACTAAAAGCGATAGCTACCAAAGAATCGTTGATTATGAAAGATTGGGAAACTTTCTATAAGATAAAAATATAAAATAATTATATTTCCTACAGTAAAAGGTCGAAAAATGCGACTAAAAGTGCTGAAAAGTGACATTTTTAAATTTTTGCCCATTTTATTCAATCGCGAATATCTCGTAAACTAAAAGAGATAATTAAGATCTGATCGCAGCGTCTTAATCTACGGACTATTCTCTATCAGATAGAATAGTTAAAATGGAAATCTGAGAGATGAAATTTTAATTCTTAAGAAAAAATTGCCAAATTTAAATTAATATCTCTTAAACTAAAAGCGATAGCCACCAACGAGTCACTGATTATGAAAGACTGGAAAATTCTCTATCAGATAAATATATAAAATAATTATATTCTCTACAATAAAAGGTTGAAAAACGCGACCAAAAGTGCTAAAAAGTGACATTTTTCAATTTTTGCTCATTTTTTTCAATTGCGAATATCTCGTAAACTAGAAGAGATAAATAGGTACAACTCTCAGGGGTTATTCTACGAACCAATCTCTATAAGATACGCTAGTTAAAACGTAAATCTAATAGATGAAATTTTAATTCTTAAGAAAAAATTGCCAAGGGGGGGTGCTTGATACTTTTTTTCGACGATTTTTGATAATTAATATCTCTTAAACTAAAAGCGATAGCCACCAACGAATCGCTGATTATAATAGACTGGAAAATTCTCTATCAGATAAATATATAAAATAATTATATTCCCTACAATAAAAGGTTGAAAAACGCGACCGAAAGTGCTAAAAAGTGACATTTTTCAATTTTTGCCCATTTTTTTCAATTGCGAATATCTCGTAAACTAGAAGAGATAAATAGGTACAACTCTCAGGGATTATTCTACGGACCAATCTCTATAAGATACGCTAGTTAAAACGTAAATCTAAGAGATGGAATTTTAATTCTTAAGAAAAAATTGCCAAGGGGGGGTGCTTGATAATTTTTTTCGACGATTTTTGAAAATTAATAACCCTTAAAGTAAAAGCGATAGCCACCAACGAATTGCTGATTATAATAGACTGGAAAATTCTCTATCAGATAAATATATAAAATAATTATATTCCCTACAATAAAAGGTTGAAAAACGCGACCGAAAGTGCTAAAAAGTGACATTTTTCAATTTTTGCCCATTTTTTTCAATTGCGAATATCTCGTAAACTAGAAGAGATAAATAGGTACAACTCTCAGGGATTATTCTACGGACCAATCTCTATAAGATACGCTAGTTAAAACGTAAATCTAAGAGATGAAATTTTAATTCTTAAGAAAAAATTGCCAAGGGGGGGTGCTTGATACTTTTTTTCGACGATTTTTGATAATTAATATCTCTTAAACTAAAAGCGATAGCCACCAACGAATCGCTGATTATGAAAGACTGGAAAATTCTCTATCAGATAAATATATAAAATAATTATATTTTCTACAATAAAAGGTTGAAAAACGCGACCAAAAGTGCTAAAAAGTGACATTTTTCAATTTTTGCCCATTTTTTTCAATTGCGAATATCTTGTAAACTAGAAGAGATAAGTAGGTACAACTCTCAGGGATTATTCTACGGACCAATCTCTATAAGATACGCTAGTTAAAACGTAAATCTAAGAGATGAAATTTTAATTCTTAAGAAAAAATTGCCAAGGGGGGGTGCTTGATACTTTTTTTCGACGATTTTTGAAAATTAATATCTCTTAAACTAAAAGCGATAGCCACCAACGAATTGCTGATTATAATAGACTGGAAAATTCTCTATCAGATAAATATATAAAATAATTATATTTTCTACAATAAAACGTTGAAAAACGCGACCAAAAGTGCTAAAAAGTGACATTTTTCAACTTTTGCCCATTTTTTTCGATTGCGAATATCTCGGAAACTAAAAGAGATAAATAGGATCTGATCGCAGCGTCTTAATCTACGGACTATTCTCTCTAATATAGATAGTTAAAACGTAAATCTGAGAGATGAAATTTTAATTCTTAAGAAAAAATTGCCAAGGGGGGGTGTTTGATAATTTATTTCGAGGATTTTTGACAATTAATATCTCTTAAACTAAAAGCGATAACAATCAACAAATTGCAGATTATGAAAGATTGGAAAATTCTCTATGGGATTATAATATAAAGTCATTAAATATCGTAAAGGAGAAAGTCGAGAAATGCGATTAAAAGTGCTAAAAATACGAGTCACTTCTACCGCTACCTTTGTACGGTACCCTGACCACGAGTCACTTCTACCGCTAACCTTGTACGGTGCCCTGAACACGAGTCACTTCTACCGCTACCCTCATACGGTGCCTTCAACACGAGTCACTTCTACCGCTACCCTTATACGGTGTCCTGAACACAAGTCACTTCTATCGCAACCCTTGTTCAGTGCCCTGAACATGAGTCACTTCTACCGCTACCCTTGTACGGTGTCTTGCAATAAACTTCAATGCAGGGAGATACAGAATTAGTGTGATTAGTGTGACACCGCGTTCTCTTATTATACTAAAAATAACTATAATTTCTAGCGCAACGAGTACTACGGCGCACCCACACAACTTCCAATATAACTCGCGTTACGGAATTTTCTCGCAATAAATTTCTATACAGGGGGATACAGAATTAAATTCACCATCTACGAAAATTATTTCGAACTAATTGTAATTCCGCGTTCGCGTGTTATACTAAAAAAACTATAATACCTAGCGCAACGAGTACTACGGCGCACACACACAACTTTCAATATAACTCGCGTTACGGAATTTTCTCGCAATAAATTTCTATACTGTGAGATACAGAATTAAATTCACAATCTAGGAAAATTATTTCGAACTAATTGTAATACCGCTTTCGCGTGTTATACTAAAAAACTACAATTCCTATCACAACGAGTACTACGGCGCACACACACAACTTTCAATATAACTCGCGTTATGGAATTATCTCTTGCTAATTTTTTTGTGTTTGCGATTTAAGCGCGATCAGCCGGGGCACGGGGAATTTATCCCGGTTGTCCCCCCGCCCTCTTAACCACCCTGCACGTAGATAGTACGTGATATATAGAAAACTTGTTTATAATAAGCAAATGTAAATTTTACCGAAAAATATAATTGAATTAAAATATAAACTTACCAGTGTATAGCTTATCGGGCTGCCAGGCACAACGAGTGCTGTAACTAAGCGAAAACATAAATTACAACAAAAATATTTCATACAATTGAATTATGTTATAATTAACAATCAACACAAAATAAACAATCTGTGCTGTTTAGTTAAAAAGACTTACACGAGCCTGATGAATGTTTCTTGATGGTAAGAATCAACATGGGAGCGATATATATTCGATTAATTTAGTAACTGACACCAAACACAACGCCGAGTGAAGAATGTTATCAAATCCACTATCACGTGACTTGTAATATACATAACAAACGCGATCAAAAACCGGCATTTCCGAACATTAAACAAATTACTATAGTCGCAAAGTACAAATAAATAGTCGATTGTCGATTGATATTCGAATATAACACTTTAGAATATTAAAGTCCGAATAAACGATATAAGTCTCTCAAAACACTACTGAATCAACCAGCGACCGGCACGAAACTGGCTGCAATCCACCGATAGTGCATGCCGAAACTGCGTAAACAACGACGGGACAGTATATGATAAGAAAGCAAGAGGTGCGCAAAGACGACGCGTCGAAGGCACGCGACCTTGTGAGCGAGTTGCAATAGATGCGCAAAGTCGACTGCGCGTCGATGGCACGCGACCTCGTGCGCGAATTTGCAATAGGCACATTACCTGTGATCTAAACTAAACTGCATGCAGCAAGTTGATGCGGCGCTAGGAGACAGCGCGCGGGACACATGCGTTAAAAACATTGTTGACACCGAATCGCAGATAACAGCATTGTATACAAAACTATTCTCGTGCCCACGTTTGTCGATAAATACAAAAATAAGCCGTATAACTCGATTTTATGATTTTTAGTGCATGCTAGTGCCATCTAAGAATGCGACAGATACTAGTCCCACAATTTAGACTATTATAATTAATAATTAATGTTTCCACGTGTTTCCATTTGTATGCAATACATATTAACAATTAACAAGTAGATCTTCTCTTAAACTATAACATGACCTTTAGAAACGCACAAAATGTATATTAGTTCACGAGATACAGGCCGATATCTAAACCAACTTTTTGAAATGTGAAAATAATGTCATTAATAAAGCCATTTTTAGAACACGTAGAAGGTTGAAAGGGTAGGGAAGACGCGTAAGTTATTAAGGAACTCTTAAGTATCATAGGAATCCAAAATGTTGTGATTTGCTCCATTGGTACAAGATATATGGTGTGTTTTCCAGGCAAAGTGATATTTCCCGTCATGATCAACTTTTACACAAACTTAACACATGGTCAAATCTAGATTCTAGAACATATTATAGATTAAAAACTAAAAACTGTGAGAAAGGGACAAATCGCAGTCTTAATCTACTAACAACACTCAATAAAATAAGACAGTTAAATTGGAAATCTAAGAGATGAAATTTTAATTCATATGAAAAAATGGGCTTGATAACTTATTTCCACGATTTTCGTAAGTGAATATCGTCTAAACTAAAAAATATTGCAAAAGAAAGCAAGAAATAGGTAAAGTAAATAGTTATTATTTCGGACTCGAAGTAGAAACTGTATTAAAACAACATTTATAAATCGTGACACAGGACGATTAACATTCAAATCAAAGTTTTAATAAAATATTCTACGCCACTTACACCAGAAAATAAGGTTGTGGACACAACCCAGGACACGATAATTCAACAATTCTACACAAAATACGGTTTTACACACCCCCCTAAAAGTTATACAAGAAAAATACATAATTAATTTATATTTGTATCCCAGCCAATATCAATGCACGTCAGCTGAATTTAATTTAAAACAGAAGTTTCGCATATTTTTTTTGTATAATTAAGCTCAAAGACAAAAATGGCAGGATATAATGGCGATATTTATCATCTTCATTCTTCTGTGCTTTCGAATCACCTTGGCCGGGAACCGGACCGAAAAGAGGGAACCAAAACATCTGAAAGTGAAACAAAATGGTATAAAATTGTTATCAAACTAAAAACATAAATTTAGTTATGTATTGTTATCAGCATCCTTTTGGAAAGAAACATTGTAAAATACGCTTTGTAAATTACTTCAATTTAAAATATTTTCATCATTAAATTATTAATCTTTATAAATCCTTGTACAATTCATAAAAATCAGTGACAATATTTGCCATCATGAACCTATTATTCTAAGTAAAAAATATAATAATTACCATTTATAATCCTGGCAACCTCAATTGAGAGATTCTGGTGAAGAGAAAATCAAAGCATCTGAAATTAGAACAAAAAACTATAAAATTTGGTATTACACCAACAACATTAATTTGGTTATGAATTGTTATCAGCATCCTTTTGGAAAGAAACATTGTAAAATACTCTTTGTAAATTACTTCAATTTAAAATATTTTCATCAGTAAATTATTGAACTTTAAAAATCTAGTATGATTACCAAAAACAATGGTAATAGTTTTCATCGTGAACTGATTAATTTAAAAAATTATAATTACCATTTAGAATTCTGGTCATCCCAATTGTAACATCTTGAATAGGAAACGAAAACACCTGAAAGTAACACAAAATGATATTAATTTGCTTTTAACTAAACACAAAAAATTAGGTGAATATTGCTATCAGCATCCTTTTGGTAAGAAACATTGTAAAATACTATTTGTAAATCACTTCAGTCTGAAGTTTGTCATCATTAATACTCAAAACAAAAACTGTTCTTGCAATCTCAAATAAAATATTTAATTCCGATGACTTACCTAAAAAAACAACGATGAGGCAGGAATGTTATTATCCTCAAAAGTAGTCATCTGAAAGATCAACTTCATTAATAACAGAATCATAACAATTTTAAATTTGAATTATAAAAATGAACTTCAGTCCTGTTGAGCTTTAACTGCCATCAAAGTTCTTTATGGAGTTAATTGTATCATCAGTTAATCGATTTTTTTTTAAATAGTATTAGAAGAAGAAATTACCTATTATTTTAATTAGGTTTGATGGTGGCGGAAATCACAATTGATAGAACACATTAACATCTGCAACAGGAAGAAACAATTAATATTACAGAGTTTCTCCATTAAAAAAACGAACAGGATAAAGACCATCAGTCCTGTTGAGCTTTAAGACACCATCAAAGTAATTTCCGGCTTAACTATATCATCATCAAAAGATCGTTTAATTTAATATAATTGTTATTTACCTGTTTGCGATTGTAGCACTCGTAGATGGGAAGAATTAACCAAAAACAAATCCAATCTATGGGAGAACCTGAAACAATACTTAAAGATCAAAATATTGCACATTTAAATTATTACAAAATAAGCGATGAGTATTAATCAGTTGGCCGTTCTTATTTGTCATCAATTTTTTTCAGAACAGGTCTGTGATTGAACAATCATCATATTAGAGATAGTTAAGAATAAGATATAAATTTATACTCACAATTCTTCAGATGTAACTGCCCCTCCTAATATTGTTGTAAAAAAATCCTTGCATTCGCTGAATGAAATTGCAATCAAATATAAAAATAAACAATAAAAATGTGAAATTTATTGCCTTAAAAACAAATTAACATATCGAGTCACTTCAAATTTCAAATTGTTTTCATGTTAAATAAATTAAAAAGTAACTGTGTTTTATGTTTATATTAAAGTTCATAGTTTCTGAAGTATATCTCCCTCTTCTATCGATCACGACTTGTGCTAGGCTTAATTAAATTGAATAGATAAAAAATATAAGTTCACTCTATTCACTGGAAATCAAAATCAAGCTTCATTTACCCTTGCAGCTAAATTAATAATCCCGTAATTATCTTCCGCATTGTGTTCAGAGTTAAAATAATAAAAAGTATGGTAATGTTGTTCAGCCGGTACCGTAATTTTGATCTGCGTTTAAAATGTGAGTAATTGCTGAGTTCGATACTTTTCGCTGTTAATTTATCGATTTTGTAGTTTATTTTGAATCTTTCAAACTTTGTACAGATCCTAACACCCCGATGTTTACATTTTGTCCAAGTAGGAAGCAAGGTCGGGCAGACCTTCCTTAAGACCCTTTCGTTTACGCGTGTCCTGCAAAAGAAAACGCAAGATATAGGAACTCGCTAGAACGAGAGCACACAAAAAATTAAATAAAGCTAAAAGAAACTGTTCGTCTCCCTATTCAGGCAAAAGAGATAAACTCTAATACCGAAACTTTAAGGACGGTTGATCTGCCAACAAACGCGAACAGTGATTGCATAAAAAATCAATCAGCGTTGTCTGTTTGTGGCTCAATTAAGTTATTTTTGATTTTCCAACATACCTGCACAATTTGGTATGGCTTCGTTCCAAGTTCCATGGGATTACCAGGCAGCACTTGCCAATGATCGAAGACGCATTGCGGGAAGGCTTGTCCGCCAGTGTTGGAGCGAAGATCAGCGGTGAATCCGAAGGACTCATTGACGGGCAAGTATGCCTTGACGACGAACATGGGGTACCTGTGACCTGTTGTTCCTCGAAAACGTGTCCACGACGTCTGTTCAATACACCGTAGATGCCACCAACGGCGACTTCGGGGCACTAAGAATAAAAATGAACTTTAGTAAAACGCAGAGAAGAACTTTGTGAGTGAAATTGTCTCTGATCGTCCTTTGGTTATCGTCCATGGAAAAAACGTAACCATACACATGAAAAGAGTTTAATGTTCCCACTACGAGCACACCTTGCCCACTCTATGATGCGAGCACGGCCGGCTTAGTTGTGTGGGGTATTCAAGAATTAACAAAGAAAAACATACCTGAATTTCGCAAAGGTAGACGGGCTCCATAAGCCTGGGCTGAGCAGTCATCAGACAAGCGTACAAACAACGACGAGTGGTTGGAATGATCTGGCCACCGCCTCTATGGATGGCGTCAGCGTGCAGGGTAACGTCGTAGATGTTGAAACGCACCGCACGCAAGTTCTCCTCAGAGAGGACACCTTCCTTGGACGCCCATTGGAAACCAGCGACGACAGAGTCCTTGATTTCGTTAAGGTATTGCACACCCTTGGTACAATCAAGCAAGATGTTGGGACCTGTGCCGTCAGGGCCGAAACACCAGATCTTACGAGCTTCGGTGATATCGTAGTCGTACTTGTCGCACAAGTAACGAGCGCGCACCTTGAAGTCATCACGTGGGTTGACCTCGCCATTGTCAATATCTTCGGCTAAGCCATCGGGCATGGGGCAAGCCTTCATGAACAACCTGTTATGCTTGTTGGGCGATTTCGACAGGCACATTTGGTCGGACTCCTCGCTGACTGTCTCACGGTAAGAGACAACAGGGTCGGATTTCTTAATTGGAATGCAGGCGTGGTCTTCTTCCAAATCCTTCAAGCAAATTTCCAAGTGCAACTCACCAGCACCGGCAATAATGTGCTCACCAGACTCTTCAATGATACATTGCACCATAGGATCGGATTTAGCCAAACGCTTCAAACCCTCCACAAGTTTGGGCAAATCAGCTGGGTTCTTGGGTTCGACAGCAACACGCACAACAGGTGATACAGAGAACTTCATGACCTTCATGTTGTGGGCGTCCTTGAAAGTGGAGATGGTTCCGGTCTTCACCAAGAACTGATCAACACCGACAAGACCACAGATGTTACCGCATGGCACATCTTCAATGGCTTCAACGTAACGTCCCATCATCAGGATGGTACGCTGAATGGCCTTCTCGTAGAGATCTTCCTTCTTACCGGGAACGTAGTTGGGGCCCATGATGCGAGCCTTCTGACCGGTGGCGACCTTGCCAGAGAAGACACGACCAAAAGCGTAGAATCTACCCTTATCGGATGTCGGTACCATCTTGGACACGTACATCATAAGGGGACCGTTCGGGTCACAGGTCTTGACACCGACGGCGGCCTCATCGTCATGAGGGCCTTCGTACAACATCTCCATACGGTACTTTTGCGCGACGACCGGCGACGGCAAATGAATGGCAATCATCTGAAGCAAAGCTTCACCAGCAGGCAACCATGTCCTCATTACAACCTTTAACAGTTGCTTGCCATCCTTGTCCTTATCTTCGTGTTTCAGAGTGATGCCCAATTTCGGGAGCAACGCTTCGTACTCTTCTTTCCTAAAAGAATACAGCTCAAATTAGTTAAGGGTTCTAGAAGACATAAAGACTGAGAACGGTCTTAAAATACATCAGTTGGCCGTTCTTATTTGTCATCAATTTTTTTCAGAACAGGTCTGTGATTGAACAATCATCATATAAAATCTAATTCAAGAAAATAAATAATTTTAAAACGCAATACATACTTGTAGTTCATGATGGAGTCAAACACCTTGTAGACGGGGTCCAAGATGTACATGCAGAAAGAACGTTTGTTATCGTCTTCCTTCTGCTTGGCCCACTTCTTGGTCTTGGCGTTGAAGAAGTTCTCACCCCAAAGACGGTTCATTAGCTTAACGACGTCGATCTTGAATTTCTCGGCGTACATCTCGGCGAATTGTTTCAGGGTAAAGGCCCAGCCGTGCAGACCGGAACCAAAACCAACTGAACCCTTGCTGGGGTCAACCTAATAAAAGCAATACACTTGAAATCATAACTAAATAATAAAAACTCACTAGAATTATTATGATTGTCTTCAAACTAGGAAATCGCATTGAACATAAATCGTCCAATGCAAGGCAAATGTTGAACGTTCACTATTCGAGCCCTTTCTTAATTGCAAAAACATGGAATGTTTGAACAACCTGTATGAACTCGGTGCATGCTGGCAAGTAAAGTAAATAACTTACGCGAACTTCACCCATTGGACCGCTGTCGTCAGAGTAGGTGGCGATGATTACGTTAACATTTTCCACAATACGCTGGAAAGTCTGGTACAATTCCTCAGAGTCCAATTGCAGCTCAAGAAGAGCACGGTCCATCTTGTTCATGAACAAAATTGGCTTGATACGTTCGGCGATGGCCTGGCGCAGTACAGTTTCGGTCTGTACGCACACACCTTAAATAAAAAACAGCAATTAAACATCTGTCTATTAACAAAATAAATTAAAAGAAAAATATTTTGCGAGTGTAGCGATCATGTCGTAGCAAATGCCCCAACCGAACATAAAGATAGAGGTCCTGTGGCAGCGTTTATCCACAATCGCAAATATAATCTTCTTCCATAGCGCACTGCCTTTCTGTCTTCGCAAACGCAAGTGCAAAAAAATCGTACTTAACGCGTGCTACAGAAAAACTCAAATGTGCTGGAAGGTATGTTCTAATTTCCACAAGAAATGTTAAATAAAATCAAAATTACCAGAAACGCAGTCAACGACGACCAAAGCACCGTCAGTCACACGCAGAGCAGCAGTTACCTCAGAAGAGAAGTCAACGTGTCCGGGAGAATCGATCAAGTTGATCAAGAAACCCTTCACGTCCTTTTCGCGCTGGTCAGCGTTGGTGATGAACACCAAATCCTTATCTTCCAGTTCAAAGTACATGGAGATAGCGCTAAAATAAAATTGAAACCATTAGATTTCAGATTTGATATCTACACAAATTAAAAATTATGAAAAAGTAATAATCAGTTTGTTGTTATTTTATCTTCAATACTTTTACAGAACAGGTCTGTGAACAAATCATCATTTTATGAATTAAGTGAATATAAAATGAAACTTACGTCGACTTGATGGTAATACATCTTTCCTGCTCATCCTTACGTGTGTCGGTAAAACGGGTCTCACCAGCCTTGGCACCAGCAATGATACCAGCTTTGGAGACCAAAGAGTCAGTCAGCGTGGATTTGCCGTGGTCCACGTGAGCAATGACGGACATGTTACGGATGTTCCGCTTCTTGTCCATCATGCCACGGATTTCGTCGACGGTAAAGTTAACCTGCAATTAGAAACTACATATTAGCGTTGGTTCAACAATATGGTTGATAATATCGACATGTCGACGGAGCATGCAGCATGTGTGCGGTTGCAGCTTATCGTATGCGTCCATAGAAAACTCTCCACATAGTAACTCACCATATTTATGAATTAAATGTAAAATATATCAGACACAAAATATAAACCGTGTTAAAATTTCAAGTGCCACGAGTAAAGCTGACGTTCGAAAGTATATCGTTCACAGACGACTCGAATATGATAAACAGCGCGATGCCGATGCAGTTCCATATTTATAGCCTTCAACGAGTTTCGCATTCTTGTGCAACATCACACAACGCGTCGATTTTTCGCGAAACAAAAAGCCATCTGGTTCAAATACGCACACGTATCGACGCAGTGAAACACGCCGCACATTTCTGTTGTGTTATATATTGAAAAAAATACTTGCCATCTTGGATGTTCCTTGATTCGTTTAGCACAGTCAAAAACACGAACGCCAGTTATGGCGCACAGCCCGTGAAAAGGAAGAGCCAAGCTAGAACTCTTGCCACGAAGTGGACTAGCTGGATGAGGTCGCCACTAGTCGCAATGTCTCGACCAATGAGCGACCGAGATTCGATGACCTACGAAGCAAACGAAACACACGACTTTTAGAGTGGGAATAAGAAAAGCAATCGTTTGCAAGATGCAACGAAATCGGTTAAAATTAACTGAGCGGCGTTATGCACTAATCTTACCTTCAGTACGGACGGATCTTAGATAAAGAGGGTTTGAAAATTGTTGTGCGGCCTTTTATATCTTCCCTTCCAAACTTTGTAGGGTATTTATTTCACGCATGTGCAATGCCTCATTGCTGCAAACAATGCAACATGTTGAAATATACTTTTAGTGTTATATTATCACAAGTAAAATTGCATAACAACATGCAATTTTTATTCTAACTACCAACGAGAAATAATTATGGAGTAAAAATATCCGTTAAACTAAAGTTATACAAAAGTAATAAAAAATAAATATTTGTGCGTTGATGCGAAGTAGGCAACCAAATATACCTCAATCGGGAAATAGAAAATGTAACTGGAATCTTAATTTTATAAAGGAATACAAAATGTTTATAATTCATTGATTAACAATGTTAACATCTACAAATCATTGCACTTTGTTGAGGATTCACTCATTTATATTGATAAAAATTCATTTATACACTAATTATTTTCTTTTTCATCAAAATATAAATTTGTACATATAATATCAAGAAAAATATTGAAATAAGTATGCAGTTATAACTAGTTGAGTATTGTAAAAAACAATAGTTTTAAAATTATATCATATGTATGTAGAACAAATATTTTACAGTCTTGTTTAAGTTAAACATTAATAACGACATATCTTACAGGTCTTCTAATAAATACTCTTTAAGAACATTAGGAAGAGGCAGGTTGGGCACATCTTTCTGCGTGATGCGCAACAAAATAGCTTCCCTGCACGCGGATTGCAAACTTCGCACTCCGTACAACTGAATTATCCGCACTTTTTTCGTGGCCCCATACACGTCCACCACAACATAAAGTGGTGCTTCTCTGTAGGGAATCTTTGTTACACAAGCTCCCTGATCCTCTCCATTGATAATATAATGCATGTTTGCTAGACTATCAGATGTTGGAATGTACATAACACCAATCCTACTGTAGATATCTGTTGGTAGAATTTGTTTTGAAGGTTTCAATAAACTCAGTGGTACTGTGCCTCTGGATGTCCTGATTCGATTATCATGCGGGCTTAGTTTAAAGCCGGGGTCATACGTGAAAAAATGATTCCAAGCCTTTGATATACCATATATCCATGTTGTGCCTCTGGAGGATAAATCTGGCAGAGCGAACCGCGGCTCCACTTTGTCTGTGAATACCGTATCGGGGTCTAATTGGGTAAGACCAATACGCAGATGACCACTCCAGCCGCTCTCGATTTGTTCGATTTCGATCACAAATATTTCACCAGGCAAGAGTGGTTTCTCGCTGAATGTGAGCGCATTTGCGAAACTTTTCTTACGATATGCGACTGTGTTGTCGTGTGTGAGGAGGATGTTTTCACCGTGGTATGGATGAAATCGGGTGACCGTCACCCGGTCGGACATCGTTACGAATGCTGCAAATTGAAATTGACGACACGGTTTATCACGTCACATTAATTAGTTGATATTTCGATGGAAAACACTGTGTTCCATTTTTCAAACTTGCAATATTGCGTGTTGTTCTACAGTCAACCATAACATAACCTCTTTACTTTCACTTGACTAGGCTGTCAATATGAGAATAAGGAAGGAGCAGAAGATGAAGATTACAAAACAGGAAAAGTTTTGCGTCAAAATGAAAGATGATTTATAATTTGACGTAATTTGAAACTTATGTCAGTCTTTTTGTTTGTAATTGTTAAAAAATCCGCAGTTTTGTCAGTTTGTAGATAAGAATTTCAAAATGCTTTCAAAATAAGCTTATTTGTTAATATCATCCGCCATTTTGATAAGAATAGCAACAAACACAAAACATGGGCAAAAAATGTAATAATAAATATTGACATAAGTTGTTATCAACGAATGGCATCAAAGTACCACCGATAGAGGGGGTACACAGTAAGATAAGCAAATAAATGAGAATTCAAAAATATTCAAAGTTACGAGTTAAAGTTTTGTCATATCAAATTATCCGAATTAATTCGCATTAGCTTTTGCTGTACAAGCACACACATTAATTCCTAAAGTAGCCTAAAATGTAAAATTGAGGATGACGATAATTTTCGCATTTAAAACTTATTAGCGCATTTACCCTAACGCAAAAATTACAATTTTGTATTCCCCGAAACAGTTTAAAAACCAAAAATTACAAAATAAAGCTGTTCAATTAACTAAGTAAATAAACAATTTTTTTTTTCAATACTGTTTTAATGTGGATTGGGAAATTCACCACTCTAATCTGGAGCACTTAAAAGCGGTTGTTATTTTGAAGATTACTGAAAGCATCGTCTCGCCTCTCTTCAAGTGTGAACACACGCGGTGATTACTCGTTTGTTGTGAGTTTGGACTTTTTAAGTCCTGACGGCGTCATCAGGCGCGAGTCTGGCGTGTCGCATCGCACCGTTTATCAAGTTAAACGAATTAAAGCGCTCGCCGAATGCACTCAGACGAGCGTGGCGCGATTGCAATAAAACTTGAATCGAAAAAAGTGCGCGTGTCCATGGTATCCGTGTCCATTTGATCCTGCAACATGGCGTCGGCGAAGAATGAAGACGAGCAGCCGAATTACACATTGGCGGAGAAACTGCGCATCGTCTTGACCAACATCACCGTCGAGCCGATAATCATATGCTATGTGATTCCAGGCGTCTTGGGCAGCCTCGCCATGCAACAACTTTACCTCGAAAAAGCCTGTCGAGTCGATCTCGCAATGAACGAGACCATCTGCGACGCCATTTCCGTGCATAACTCAAGCGGATATCAAAAGGAAGACGAAGCAGAAGTGCAGAAATACGTCGCTACTATGTTTTCATACAAAAATGTTCTTCAATCAGTGATACCATCAGTGTTGTTGCTGTTTATTGGATCGTGGAGTGACAGATACAACCGGCGTAAACCATGGATCATGCTACCATTAGTCTGTGAGCTTACAACCGTAATGGGATTCTGGTTAACAACATATTTCTTCTATGAAATGACCGTGATTTACAACGTGATCATCGATGGCATTGCACCTGTGATGTCCGGGGGTGGATATGCGTTTGGAATGGCATTGTATGCACACATCAGTTGTATTACCACGGAAGCGACTAGGACCGTACGAATTGGGGCGGCGAATATGTTGTGGAGTCTTTGTTATACTTTGGGAATGGCTTTAAGTGGAGTTGTGTATATTCAACTAGGTTTCTACGGGGTGTACATTATTTCAATTGTTATATATCTAACCGGGTTGTACTATGGGCACACGTGTGTAGAGGAAGCACCATGGCCAGAAAAATCCCAAGACGAAGTAGAAACTAGGAAAAATCAAAAGAAGAAAAACTTTTGTTTGGATTTTTTCAATTGGAGTCTAGTAAAAGACACTTTTAACGTTGCATTCAAAACTGGTGAGCGTAACAGAAAGGCTAGGATTTTAGCTATTATGGTTTTGGTTATGGTTATCATAGGACCCCTTCACGGTGTGCATTTTGTGCTAGAAACTGCAATAAGTTGTTTTATGTGATTAAAATTTTAGGTGAATTTGTTGTGTGGTACATGTTCGTACGTTACACTTTTCATTGGAACGAAATTGAGTATAGCATTTTCTGCACGTACTATTCCATCGTACATATTGTTGGTAAGTGACAACCAAAAACTTTTACAGATATCTGTAAATTAGTATTACTGTGGTGTAATTTAGGAACCGTGTTTGCGTTGATGTTCTTCTCGAAATACTTGAAGTTAGACGATTCACTCTTAGGCATGATTTCGAGCATGAGTAAAATCCTCTCATCGTTCGTCTATGCATTCGCACCAAATTCAACAATATTTTACTGCGGTAAGTAGCGCTCATAACCTAACCTCAAAGCAATAACCATCAAAATAATGACATAATTCAAGGTGCAATAATTGAAATGTTTAATGGCACATCATTCATTGCCATGCGTTCGATAATATCAAAACTAGTGCCGGTTGATGAATTAGGCAAAATCTATTCGTTGTTTGGCTTGTGTGAAGCCCTAATGCCATTGGTCTACGGCCCTATGTACAGCTACATCTATAAGAATACGATAAACTTCATGCCGGGCATGTTTTTCATCGCCGGCGGCATCCTAACCGTGCCATCAGTAATAATGTTCGGGTATGTGGGACATCCTTTTCACGTTTTTCATTGTGCATCAATTGCTGATCAGCGCGACTAATTGGTCACTTTCAGTTGGTTGTACTTCGAGCACAAAAGGGATTTGCGGCTCGATGCAGAGAAGAAAAACGACGAAGCGACGGCAATGTTAGAGAAAACATCAAATAACGGTAAAACAAATGGCACCTCGAATGGCATTGCGAAACCAACATCTACATGATACCTACCAGAATGTTATTTTATTATTAATTCATATATTTGCGTAAAAATATTTTATTTATTTATTAAATGCATTAAAATTGTTTAAGATAACGACTTGTCTATTTTTTGCATTTACGCGCCATCATCACGGTTATATAATAATAATTATTGTTAATGGTCAATTACCAAGATGTTTCTGCGAATCAACTTTTAAAAAATGCGCATCATGTGTTTTTTTCATAACAATGTGTATCCGCCGTAATGACAAATTACTGTTTGCTTTGACCGAAAAGCAGTAGTTAAGCCAGGCATGTGCCAACTTTAAACCATGTTAAGCCGTAATCTAATTTCGAGTCTGGCGTCGCGCCCGCCTCTGCGATCTGCGCTTCTTACCAGCTTATCATTTGATAACTGCGTAACTTGTTTATCAGCACTCGAAAAATGAATAGATTTTAATCGCACACAACTTGTGTATTAAGCAATCATGGAAACCAGTGAATTATCGCATTTAAATCAAGTGAAGAGTGAAACCGTCGAAAATGACAACAAACCGGAAAGAGTTTACACATTCAGTGAAAAATTCAAAATGGTGGCGACAAACATCACCGTGGAGCCGATCATGCTCTGCTACGATATTCCGCATGTGGTGGCATCCTTGGCAATGCAACACTTAAATCTTGAGAAAGCCTGCCGTGTTGATCTCAATTATACAACATCGATTTGTGATGCGATGGCAGTGCACAACGAGACAGGTTATGCCAAAGAAGACGAAGCCATTGTGCAAAAATACGTCGCATCCGCAATGGCATATCGTAGTATCCTGCAAAGCGTCATACCAACAATCCTAGTTTTATTCTTAGGATCATGGAGTGATCGCCATCAGAAACGTAAACCATGTATAATCCTACCATTATTCGGAGAAGTTGTATTAGTACTTGGATTAACAATAAGCACATACTTCTTTTATGAAATGCCAATTATCTACAATGTGTTCATCGAAGGGCTGCCACCTGCTTTGACAGGAGGTGTGCATTCAATAGACATGGCCGTTTTTGCTTACATCAGCAGTGTAACCACCTTGGAAGAGCGTACAGTGCGTGTAGGCGCTGTGAATTTAATCATTACCGTCGCTGGGACAATTGGTTCGGCAATTTGCGGTGTACTCTACTACAAACTTGGTTTTTACGGTTGTTATGTATTAACAATATCCGCGTACACCTTCGGAATTTTTACACCATGATACGCATCAAAGATACAAAATTGAGGAGGATATTAACGCTGAACCAAAAATCCTTTTGGTTGACTTTTTTAATCCTGAAATTGTCAAGGATACCTTTCAGGTGGCGTTTAAAGAGGGTGAACGTAATCGACGCAAACGAATCTTAGCTATTATGTTGCTAGTTGTGGTTATTATCGGGCCTATGATTGGAGAACATAATGTTTTGTATATGTTTACAAGATATCGATATGAATGGGATGAAATTGACTATAGTATCTATAATACTTTTTATGCAGTAGTCCATATAGCAGGTAATTATTATTAAAAATGCTAATAAATTAACTATTAACTATTTTAATAATGATTTATGTTGCAGGAGGAATTTTTCATTGATGTTATTCTCAAAATACTTAAAATTCGACGACGCCATGCTTGGAATGTTGTCCAGCACAAGTAAAATCCTTGCATCGCTAGTATTCGCTTTTGCTCCATCGCCTACAGTGTTCTATATCGGAGCAATCGTGGAAATGTTTAATGGCTCATCATTTATAGCCATGCGTACAATCATCTCGAAGCTGGTACCAGCAAACGAGCTAGGGAAAATTTATTCGATATTCAGCGTGTGTGAAGCGATAACTCCTTTGCTTTACGGTCCAATGTACACATCTATTTACAAACTAACCATTGATGTTGTTCCGGGGGCCTTTTTCCTTGCTGGTGGCCTACTTACAATACCATCTGTTCTAATATTTTAGTAAGTAAATTAAAATCAACATAAAAACTATAAAAAATTACTAAAAATCACATTTTAGTTGGTTACATCTAGAAAATCAACATGATATTAAAACTGGTGCCATTCCTAAAACTACAGAAAATAAAAAAGTTAATAATACAGAATTAACTCCAATTGCCAATGAAAAAAGCAATTAATAAATATAATCAAAATAAAATCATGTAAAAGGCTTTAAAAACTTGGATGTGGATGATTCCCGGCATACTTTTCGATGCGTCTCAATACGATTTGGAAAGAAAGTCCTGCCGCACTTTTCGCACGGAATTAACTCGTTGAGATGGTTTTCCCAAATGCGATGAAACGTGCCAACAAAATCAACACCACCAGACGCTAACAAACAAAACAAACAGTTATCATTTACTACCAGAAAAAAAACCTAAAACATGTTATTAGTTTATTAATACCTTATTATTATTATTGTTTACTTAAAATTTCAAGTTCATGTTATGAAAAATATATATTTTAATCACCCGCTGATAAAACTACATACAAACACAACCGAATCAATTTTTTCGTCTTCGGAAACAAAAAAAAAAGTCTTATCGCTTCGACACCACATACGAGTATTAACCAGATTACATTCACAGCAAACTTATTGTTTAATTAACTGTTGTATTATGTAGTATTAGTATTATTAGTTGTAGTAGTAATATTGCCTATTTATAATAAACGTTAACGTCGTCTTAGTTTTGTATTGATAGTCAATAGTCACAATGTAGGATATCACGTGGCGTGGTTGTGGTAGTGGTGCATGTTAATCGCATGTCGATGAAAATTGATGTGGTTTATGTTGGCGGCCCCTTGCAGCTACGCTCGTGCACATCGACACGATCAGGGTTGAAAGTGCGTTTGCACAGGTGGCACGGCACCAGTTGGTCGAGATGCGATTGCCAGTTGGCTTCCTCGGTTGCGAGAAAGTCGATTTTACCATCGGCTGCAAAAACGCATTTTTCTTTTGCCATCTAATCTAACACATCCTCAATAATTAAAGCATAAGTGTGCTTATGAGTATGAACTTATCATTAGTGATTGTGAGTTCAATGACCTTCATCGATCAGCAATCCTTGAGGGTGTATCCTTGCACCCTGGCAATAAACGTCATAACTATGTTTGAAATATTGATTATTTTCGACAGTGTTTATAGAAAAATAAAATCAATACTTTTGTATTATTCAGTGTCGGATAATTCAAGTTGATGGTCAAAAAATGCTTCATTTACGCTTTTTTATTGCGCTGAATAAACATTTTCTATACGTATGTGTAATATTTAAGTACGTTGACCCTATCATAATTTCACCACGCTTTCTTTCGGCTTGTAAGAAAACTTTACGATGTATTTCCTTACAACGTACGACCTGGTTTTATGATTGCTGCAATTTGGTGGAAATACTAGTAATTATTACGACTTGAGCGATTTTAATACGACCCGATTAGTTTTCACCCGCTTGTGCAGTTTATTCTTTAGTGTAAGTGTGTAAGCACCTGTTTTTATAGATGTAGATGATGTTGATGATGAGGATGAAGTTTTCGTCATGATGGAAAGCGGCTCAACCAAGCGCAACTTACGTGTGAATTTAATATCTGGTTTCGGTGGTGTTGGCCGCCGCTTCTCAATCGGTAGTTTATCGTTTTCGGCGCGCCATTTTTAAGACACTGTGGTTCGTGGATGTATATCGATGCGACGCCAAATAACCGACCACAAAGGTAACAAGGAAACATGTGAGGTTTTTTATCGGTAGATGATGGACGCTCTTCAGATGTCGCAGCTTCTTTCATTTCTTTTTCTGTAAATTTCATAGAAATAAAATAAAATTTGTTTAAAAGGATTTTTGCACCTTTTGTAATTTTTAAGGCACTGTGGTTCGTGAATTTTCACAGATTTTGATCCAAACATTTTTCCACAATGTGGACATGGCACCAGTCCAGGTATCGGCTGCGGTAAGGTAGTCTTATGTGATAAATCACTGATTGCCGATACACTCGACGATTTCTGAAATATCAATAATGTCAACATTACAAATTACATTCTAATATTTCATCCTTGAAAGTAGTAGAAAATAGCGCATCATGGAAAAACACCAACTTCTTGGATTAACTCCATCTAAGCTCGACAAACGTACAAATTGAGTAAACATCACGATGCGATAACATGTCATAATGACAATATGTTATACAGTACCTTGAATATAATATATTACACAATATTTTACCACAAAATAACATAATCCCCATGTAAATCAAAATCCTTTACTCATTCTACGAAAATATACACCTCTGGCTTTACCGGATTATAAGTACTTGCTGGCATTGAATTTGAAAACCGTTTGCTTCAGAAAAAATCGAAAAGCTCCTGCACACACATGATAAGCGCGAAATTCAAGGCAACTTACGAATTTCGTCGGACTCACGACGCCATTATTCGTTCTTCTCGGGTACATGTGAAAGACACACAGTTAATTTCTGAGCGCGCGTTTTCTTGCCGGTCGCTATCAACACCCGATGCCAATAAACAAATGAAAAAACAATATTAACAAACAATTGATAGTGAGCTATCTCTCCGCTGAGAGGCGATAATTTCTTTGTAGCGTCTCGCGTTTTTGAATGAACTGAGCTCAAACAGCGATCACTGTGCGCTCATCCATTAAACAAATGCACGTGCGCACACAAAGCCACTAAAACCATCCAATAACTTAATAAAAACTCAATTAAAATGGATTTGGCGAAGAGTATAAGCATGGAGGCAATACCCTCCAAGGATATGGACGCTGAGCCAGCTGTACCGGAACCAGGTTTGACCGCGTGCCAAAAATTCCGCTTGGTTTTCAGTAACATCACAGTGGAACCAATCATGGTCTGTTATGTCCTACCGAATGTAATGGCTTCCCTGGCGATGCAGAATTTAAATCTGGAGAAAGCCTGCCGGGTTGATCTGGGGTATGATACGGATATATGTGACGCAATGGCGGCGCGTAACAAAACAGGTTATTCTAAGGAAGAAGAAGAATCCGTGCAGAAATTGGTCGCCACTGCAATGGCCTGCAAGAATATCATACAAAGTCTCTTGCCTTCTTTGTTATTAATGTTTCTTGGGTCATGGAGTGATCGAAATAATCGCCGGAAACCGTGTATCATGTTACCGATTGTCGGAGAAATGGTAACAGCGACTGGGTTTTTAATTTGCACGTATTATTTCAACGAATTGTCGATTGTTTTCAATGTGATTGCTGAGGCAGTACCACCTGCATTGACCGGTGGATGGTTTTCAATGTTTATGGGAGTTTTTGCTTATATAAGTGGTGTTTCCACCCTGGAGACAAGAACGTTACGCATAGGAGCCGTGAATTTGTTTAGTAATGTCAGCGTTACCATTGGTATCGCTTTGAGCGGGATCCTGTACAAACAAATCGGTTTTTATGGAGTTTTTAGTTTAGCTCTTTCTGCTTACATAATCGGCTTTTTGTATGGAATGTTAAGAGTGAAAGAAGTTGAATTACCAGCTGAGCAAGTAGAAGATATCGAATTTGTTAAAAAAAATGAAGAAAACGTTAAAAATGTGAAACAAAGAGGCTTTTTAGCAGATTTCTTTGATATTAAACATATCAAGGACACATTTGCAGTTGCATTCAAAGAAGGTGCCCGAAATAGAAAAAAGCGTATCGGTATTATTATGATTTTGGTTATGGTCATCATAGGACCTCTGCATGGTATGTACCTTATCAAGTGTCAATACTTAATTATTCTAGTTTTATCTTGACATATTGTTTATTGGTCATTTTATCCATGTTTACAGATAATTACTGTTTGTAAACATGGATATTTACTAAGAAACAAAAGGAAATCCAGTTCTTTCTTATTATTATTCTTTCTTTCGACTTATGTTCCACTGGTCTATATTATTATCAGCAACTGCGTATATTCGTGTTTATGTTTACACTCTTCAAACTGTTTGATCTTTTTCCAGGTGAATTAAACGTCATGTACCTGTTTGTACGGTATAAGTTTCAATGGGACGAAATTGATTACAGTATCTACAGTACATTCACATTTTTGGCACATTTAGCTGGTAATTATTATAAGTAATAATTACTTATTTTTAAATTGAATCATATATTTTAGGGACAATATTCTCATTGGTAATTTTATCTAAACACCTCAAAATGGACGATGCGCTCCTAGGAATGATTTCCAGCATGAGTAAAATTCTTTCTTGTTTTGTTTATGCCTTCGCGCCAACTCCTTCTATATTTTATTTGGGTGCCATTGTGGAGATGCTTAATGGAACGTCGTTTATTGCTATGAGATCAATTATATCAAAACTTGTACCGGGTGATGAACTAGGTAGGAAATTAATGTTTCCTATTGATTAATTTTTAATATCATTTTTTCTTGAAGGGAAAATTTATTCCTTATTTGGTGTTTCGGAAGCTTTAATGCCACTGCTGTACGGTCCAATGTACAGTTTTATCTATAAACATACGATAAGCTTCCTTCCAGGCGCATTTTTCTTGGCTGGTGGATTTTTAACCATTCCATCTGTTCTTATTTTCATGTAAGTAATTATTAATAGACGTTTTTAGTTCATTATTTCTTTTGTCGCGATAATATTAATATTATTTTACTTTTTAGTTGGTTATACAACGAACATAAACGCGACGAACGAGAAGAAGCAATGAACAAAGGCCAAGAGATGAAATTACTACTTCTAGTTCCACCCTCAGAGAATGTAAAACACAACAATAAACATCCATCATAAAAAGTGCATCGTTCAATATTTTACACGTAATATTAATAAATATGTATAACTACTATTAATATTTGATGCATATACTGAAAAGTTTATAAAAATATAAAATATATTAAAAGGAAATGTACAAAAGTTTCAAGAAAGTTAATATTTCTCAACGCCACCGACGTTCCTGATAAAATAATAATTAAATAAACCATAATCTAGTTAATCAATACTTAATACTTACAACAGGACCTCTTTGGGGTTCTTTACAGCTGCGAAGGTGAACTTCCAGCCGATCGGGAAGGAATGTTCGTTGGCAATTTTTACACGAAATTAATTGAGCCTGCAGGGAAAGAAAAAATTACTTAATCCATTTGCCATATCAAAATATTATGGTTTCCCTTTGCCTAATCAAATATAAAAGCAATTTATGACCTTATTTAATTACGATTTTCATTATGTGCGCATTTTTCCTTGTAACACAAAAGATAATACTATATATTTATGCAAATATGCCCTTTCAACTTCAACATATTACCCTAACGTGGGAATAATTTATTGATTTCTTTGATTTACCATATTCATAGCACTATAATAACCTTGTTGGTTATCAATCTTAGGTGCAACCTCGAATGTGCAACCTACAAATCGCTTTAATTATCATACATTATCGAAACCCAGCATAAAACGTAAAAATTTCTCGTAAAAACGCATACTTTTCCCCAAAAATAAGTGATACACCAAAAACTAATTTTCTGATTAGAATCACACTGACAGTCAAACAATAATGACCTAGCCCTGGTCATAAAACCTTGTCTAAAAGTATAATGTCGGTCATCTATAAGAAACAAACAAACATACAGCGCGATAACGACCAAAATATTGTCCATTGTCGCACCCTCCCCGATCAATTCCACATTCACCCCTTCTCAATAAATAATGCCTTCTTTTTTCCTGTCCACTATCCTGTTGTTTAAATTGTCGTATGACGCACATTAAACGTCTTTTATTTTCGTAGCATTCGGCGTCTCACGCAAGAATAAATTATTCACATAGACAATGCATTAGTGCTTTTCAATTCACTATATCCACACACATCAATTGAAGAGAAATTTTAAAAGCAATAAAGACTAAATTATAAACAAATGGCAGTGAAACTAATGTGAAGCGACGGTTAAGTTCAAAGTTAATCGAACAAAAATTGATTATTCGCATAGACGGCGCTCTTTTTTATTAGACAATTTGTCGGGCTCATTATTTCTTTGTCCTTTGTGCATCGCATGCACGTGGACTGCTTTCATTATCATATCATTGACATTCAGTATACAAGTATACACTATGAATAGGATTCTATTCATTCTATAGTCAACGCAACCTTATAAAATGTCAGTTTTTTTTATTAATTACTCTAAAAATATTTGTGATATTTTAATAAATCTTTCAGTAATTGAATCAGATATAAATTCTTAATCAGAATGTGCTTAAACAATAATATTTAGATTGTTATACTAAATGTTATAAACAAAACAAATTGATTTTGAAAATATTTTTTATCTTGACCTAATTTCCTCGATAACTTTTGATAAAATCATCCAATAAATAAAATCTAAACATACTTAGATAAAGAATTTAATTCCAGATGAATTTGTAAAGTTTCATTAATAAAAGTTTAATACTTTTCGATTAATTATATAATAACTGAACTATCGCAGTAAACCCACCGTAACTATTTAAAATAAACAATTTCTATTTTAATAAAAACTCTTGGTATATTTTTTATGTTTCTCCATTAAACTCACACTTTTGTTGTGATAAAAAAAGCGACATTAGATAAGGTCGCATGTAGGTAATCGTTAATCGATTTTAAGTACGCGTATGAGTATAAACCTTATATGAGCACCTTATATTTATTTGCCCCAATATATTTATTATTGTGTAATATGCTGTCACTCTGGAATAAAACGAGTGATACGTTAGTTTACAAGTACCTGTGCGGATTCCCATGCAAATTTATTCCATTCCTCCTTCGTCATTGGCGTGTCAGGTTTGATCGGCCGCTTCTTCTGCAACTGTCGCGGTAATTTTCGATTTTCACGCTCCCATTTCTACAAACAAATAAGGAGAACTATGCAAATGTTATACCAACTAGTTTAAAGTACCAGAAGTCAAGAAATAAACAACCTTTGACGTTTGCAAGTTGAAAAGTATTTGTAAATTGAGCAGAGTTACAAAGTTAGATAGAACGGAAGTAGATGTGCGGTTCCTTCCGGCCCCGTGGCCTGGGTTCTATTCAGTTGTGGAAAATCGGATAGATTGTTGAAAAGGGTGCAAATGTTTGTAGTTCACTAGGTCATAGGTCAAATTGAAAAAAAAAAGTAATGAGCACAAAACTTAAAGATTGCAAAAAAAATTAATTCACGTTGACGTTTTAAGTGTGGAATTATTATTTGCGTTGCAATTTAGTGCTGTTTATGCATTTTATTGATTTTATCTTATACGTATTATAGTAAAGAAAGTTGTTGTGTTCAGATTAGGTTTCAACTAATATAATACCAAAACAATATAGCTAGCAACATCTAACTGCAGCAAAGTAAACTAAAAATAGAAATATTTATGTTCTACAATTCCCGAAATCATGCACAAACAACACCTGCATTAGTAAAGTACACCGAGCAATTTAAATTCAGTACCGCGTTTATATAACACTAAAATTAAACTAAAACCAATAGAATCAATAGTCTGAAAACCTCTCTATACAATTTTCAAAGATCTATTATATCCTAACAATATGCACAATGCTGTTTGCTACAATAATGACCCATGTAAAAAAAACACTCCAAACTACAAAAGACGAATCCATCAAAAGCCATAATTAAAGGTAGCGTTACGTAAAAGTCGATTACTCTTTTTTAATATCCTTACTTTGACTGAATGCCTTGATTTGACTACTGTTTGTTAGCATGCTAAAAATGGATCAAGCATATTCACACAATTCGAATTCATCATGTTGACATTAAAAAAAAGACAACCGCATTTGCTCTAATTAATAAATAATAAGAAGGAAAATTCGTATTCGAGAGAGGTTATTGATTCTATAAGTGAGAAAATACGGCGATATAAGAATATGCTAATTATTTATACATGGGACCAGCTGATGATTTAAGAAGTCTAAAAATAGAAATATTACTAATGCAAAACGTTACCAATTGTTGTTTTGGAGTTAATGTTCAAATATAAACATGTATAAATCATTTTAATGTATTGAGGTAACAATTGGGCATAATATATATATTCGGTGACCAAAAAGGGCCAAAAAAGACAAAATTCAGTAGCAGAACTAAAAAAAGTATCCTGGTTGCCAATATTTTCAAAATTTTAAATATATTAAAAAATATGGTTTTAAAATTTAGTGGGAACCTTTAAAATTAATATTTTTCTATCTTTTTAACGTTTTTCTGTTTGAATTTTGAAATTTTTCTGTGAAAACTAGAAATTTTAAAAAATCAGCTTGTATCAACATAGATATAATCGAAGTATAAATATTAAATTCCATAATGACATTGCAAGGGCGACTCATCGACCGCTTAATTATATAATCGATACACCCACCATTAAAATACAACCCCTGTTGTAATGCACCATTGCCCACGTAAATAGCAAGTTTAAAAAAAATCAATTACTCACCTCTAAACATTTGGGCTCGTGCAATGGTAACGACGCCGTGCCAAATTCCCTCCCGCAGATGTAACACGTCAAAGTCCTTGGTCCTTTCGCCGATTTTACTTTACTCTCAATCGGCGCCATTTCTACAGGAATTTCGGGCGTCTTAGGCTCCAGTTTTGATTTATAACGAATCGCCACAGGTTTCTGTACCGTATTTTTCGTCGGAATCTTAATTTCTAATTTTCTAATAGGCTTGAGCGGTGTTGTGGGATGGCTGTGAAATCGTTCTGGCGCGTCGGGACGTCCGCACGTCGTGCACGGCTCCGGCAATAGTTTTGTCGATATCGGTTTGACGCTGTTGCTAATACTCGCGTTATTGTTGATCTCGGCGTTGACGGCGGTGGCGCTCACGGCCGGCTTTCGCAATTTGCTTTTCGATGTGACTGATGTGACGATCCGAGGTGGCCGCAGGAGTGTCGCTGCTGTGCGCTTGCCGGTCTCGCGTCCCGACGATAAAGATTCGTCCTCCCAGCTTGCTTCGGCTTCGCTGAGTGTTTCATGCTTGCGCTGTTTCTTCGACTTTTCCCCCGGGGATTTTGTGACCGGTAAAGGTCGCCGGCGTTCTATAATCGCGGTGCGATGGCGAGATTTGCGCACAGTGGTCGCCGCACGGTTGATATTACTTAAAGGCACGCGACATATTGTCGCAACCGCCAAAAATTCTTTCCGAATTAGCGACATATCAATTTGGTCCATATATTTCGCATCTAGGACTTGTGGACGCTCTAATGTCGCAGTCAATGGCCGCTCTCGATTATACTCATCATCGTTATCATCGTGTTCACTGTTTAATTCATTATTAATATTAATATCACTAGTTTTCTTCGGCCAGGTCTTGGTGAAAAGACGTAGGCCATGATTGGTTTTCATTTCGTCCTCGTTGCGATCACTTGATGCACTCTTATCACTTTTCTGTAACAACGGGAGCACTAAGAAAGTTTTCGGGGAATTGTCCAGCGCTCGCTTGTAATTTCGCCAACGCATTTGGATTAGATGTAGAAAAAAATTGAATCAAATCAAGATCACGCGAGCATTTGCATTCGAGGTTACTGTGATCACGCTTCGCGTGAATATTTCGATTATTACCGCGGACCACCGACGTGCGGCACCAACCGACTTCGGCGTGCGTTTGCCGCTGGTAAACTTACAATATCCATACAAACGGTAACCGATGGTAACCAGCACAAGGGGGTGGACGTAGTCACACGGTGTAGTCACAATCCCACCACCTATGGCGACGCGCACGCGATTCATGACTAATGCCAGAGGACTACTTACTGTAAAAGGCATTTGGTCTTCTTCTGTCTCTGTATCAACGTATCAACGAGGAAATAAAAATCATTCAACCATGTTTCGATGCAAATAAGCTGTGGTATATAATGACGTCATTGAGCGCTGACAAACTCGGATCGAAGTTGCATTTATGGAGTAATCGAGTTTTGTTTGTTTTTCTATTACGTGTTCGGTTATAATAAGATCAACCGTGAACTTCCGATGTAATAAAAGACCCGCCTCGGTGAATTGAGATGACACGTGGATAATAATTTAGTAGTAGTTCAAAATTGGTCCAAAAATTATATGAAAATGATGGCGATGATGTTTCGAATGTCAATTTTGAAAGTGAAATAGACAGTTTGATTTGAATAAAAAATCAATCATTGATTGTTCATTTACATTATTGTGCTTTTTATTTACCTATAACCTTTATTTCTATTTGAGGATTAAAGTTAAATTTTATGTGCCACATTCGTATGCTTATATTAACTGATATTGCATATTAATATGCACATTCTATAAAATAAATTTCCGGTAAATTTACAAACATGCTGGTCTATGAGAATGTGGAATGTGTTGAGCGTAACAATAATAAGTTAATCATTGAAAGTGACAACCGGTATAAACAAATGTTTCGTAATTTTGCAATTTCAAACAAAGAATACTTTAATTTTCTTTTTTGAAAATAAAAAAGGTAAAACTAAAATGACGCTCAAAAATAAAATAACCTCTCTTTTGCTCAACGTAACGAAGATATAAGTAAGTAAATTCATTGTTTAATATCGATTAATACCGAAAACAATAACAACCTTGTTCCACATTTGCGCTATCGCCACGCCGGAAAACACTAAATGCATTTCCCTGTTAATTACGAGTATAATTATACGGACTGCGTAAAATTGCACCTGCAATTCATTAATCATTTGATACGCTCAGGTTAACTGTACGCTGTTTTTTTTTGTTCCTCTAACAAGTAAATATTGTTCGTGCTTATACAATTGTTTAATGTGCACAAATAAAGCACAAATAAAGGAAATTTTTCCGAATTGCGTAAGTACCGTTATAGTCGTGATATTTTACTGGAATAACATTTTATTTAACAACAGTGCGTAAATTATTCCACGCACATTCCCGCATTTGTTTATTTACTGCGTCTGATCAACATCCAGGCATGCAGCGTACATTAATGTACGCATAATCTCTAATAGGTTTTTTATCACCGCATGTCGGCGACGAAAAAATTTCAAAAATAGCCAACGCATTGTTTAAAACAGACAAAATCGCGCGCGTCCTTGATTTAAAAAGATAATTACTCACAAATAAACGTTAGCTCATCCGACAAATAAAAAATACGTATATTACCATGTGATGATTTTAATTAGCACCAACTTATACGGAATGGGTGACATTGTTATGACTTATGAATTAATTATATACGCAAATAAATATTTTTCGTTGGTAATCTACATTCCCCATGTTCATAAAAGTTGACCATCAAATTGTATCAATTAACATTCAATTGAATTGTTGAATCGTTACCCAATGTTGCACAATAATAATAATACTAATAATAAAATTCTGTCTGCCGCATACGTAGTTTGTGGCCATAATGAAAATTAACATGCAGACGTTTAATTTTCAGGCTCATTATCGCGGCATTTTTTCCAGATTGCGTTTCATGTCGTGAATAAACATACTTATCTATTTATAGTCGACGCGTTCAGTTGTTGTCCGACTTGTGGCTCGTGCGCATCGCACTATAAGTGCGTGATTAGTGCTTGTTCATTGATTGTCGATAGTGCGTGCTCCAACAAACCACGAGACTTGATCGAAAAGTGTTTACTTATACCAATTTATCGCAATCATGTCGAATTCTGCATCGTTGGCATATGGTACGTTTGATGCGCGTCCTTCGCACAAGGATCGCCTCAGTAACATTTGGAAAGAATTTTCGCACGTACCCGCATTAGCCCTGATAGTTTTAATGCTTTGGGCAGTTGGTTATGCGTTATTCGGCAATGAAATTATTGGAATTCATAGCCAACTATTTAGTTTAGCGGTAAGTAATTATATAAAAACTATTTTGGCGTCAATAACTGATTAAATATGCTATGCTTTAGGTGCTGTTTATATCAGCAAAAATAGTTGGGTATATTTTTGGCCAAGCACGCTTACCACCCATGATTGGCATGTTGTTAATGGGAGTTCTCTTAAGAAATGTAAACTTTCTTGAAATTTCCGGCGGATATCGAAAGTTTGCAGCCGTTCTTCGACAATTAGCACTGGTAAACATAATGCTTCCAGCCGGTTTAGGGCTAGATCCCAAGGCGCTGAAGAAACTTACCGGGATGATTCTCAACTTATCGATTGTTCCCGTCGCTGCTGAAGTAGGAGCTCTCACGCTGACAGGGTACTACCTCCTGGACTTACCACTCATCTGGTCGGCACTTCTTGGGTAGGGCCTACGTGTAAGTTAACTAAGAACAACAAGATGTTGAAAAATAGTATGCCTGGTTCCCGGGCAGACTATTGTTGGCAGCGGTCTCACCGGCGGTGATCATTCCATGCCTCTTCCAACTGCAAGATGAAGGATACGGGGTCGACAAGGGTATCCACACGTTGGTCATCGCGGCGTCTACCTTCAACGACATCATTTGCATCGCGTTGTTCGGAATACTTATTGGGGTGATCTTTAGCACCGGTAAATCACTTTCAAAAAACTCTTAACATGTTTTTAAAAAGTAAAGCATACTACCTATAATTATTTGTGTAGGTACTCTGTTAATGCAGGTATTACACGGACCGATTGTGTTGGCTCTCGGGTTGACTTACGGAATTATTTGGGGTTTGGTGTGTTCCTACGTACCGAATGTAAAACACGAATATGCCGTAACCCTGAGAACTTTACTTTTGAGTTCTGGGTGTGTACTATCCGCTTTGGGAAGTGATGCTATCGGTTACGGTGGAGCAGGTGCTCTCGGATGTATCGTAGCTGCGTTTGTTGCAAGTTTAAAATGGCGGTCCGAAGGTTGGGACAATAATGTAAGTTAATTCGTATCTATCACTAAAAAAACAATGTCTAAAATGTTAAAACACAAAATTATTGCAGAATCCTGTGAGAATGAACTTTATCTTGCTGTGGAAGTTCTTCGAACCGATATCATTCGGTTTAATCGGCATGGAAATCAACTTTTCTGTCCTTGAAGGTGATACAGTCTTGTACGGCACGATCGCAATGACCGCCGCACTGATAATACGAATGGTTGTTTCGTTTGCATGCACGCAATGCACTAACTTCAATTTGAAGGAACATATATTCGTCGCGACGTGTTGGATACCAAAAGCTACGGTTCAGGTAAACATATCGTAATAAAATTAAATTAAAAACAAAATATTCACTATTTTTCATTAGGCCGCGTTGGGACCAATGGCTTTAGACCTCGCAAGGGACAACGACGACCCCACATTTACAACATTCGCGAATACTATGGTAATCGTAGCGGTGATGTCAATTTTAATCACATCACCAATCGGCGCTATTCTTATCATGCGTTTGGGCCCAAAGTTTCTTCACAAAAGCGAAGGAAACTTCTTGGACACCATTCCAGCGGCTGCTCCTCAGGAAAACCACGAAACTGCTACTTAAGTACTTAAATCTACCTCAAAAACTCAATTTTCAAAAGATATATTTTATATACAATTGTATTAAATTCCATTTAAATAAAAATAAAACGCCGGATACTTACAGTGATCATATACAATGATCATCTCCTGTATCTGTAGCGTTTGAAATGGAACCACAGCTGAAATATGTTGTTATGAAACTGACACCTGAATCCTCGTTTGTAGGAATATTCCCATTCCCTGCTGACTATTTTGAAAGCAATATCTTCGTAAGGCGGACCAGCATGAAACCGTAAAATAGCAAATTCACGATTTTCAGGGCAAGGTGTCTGTAAAAACAACAAAAAACATTAATATTTATTCCACAATGACAAAATTATGAAAAACTTACCAAGAAATACTCCGGTGTCTTATTCTTATCAATCAAATCCGGATAGAAAATATTAAACTTATATCCCTGTACAATTTTCGGCGGCGGATTATCCATATCATAATGTGTTTGATTGTACTTATTCCATTCGAAGCCTGTGTGTACACGATTGAAGTACCTAGGTTTTCGAGGTCTGTACTTATCCGACCATAGATATACTTGACTGTCCAATGAAGTCTCAACTGAAAATTGTGCCTCGTCATTGTCCATTCCTTTACGAGCCTCTCGGATAAGTAACAACTCTTCCTTTGACACAACATTTTCGTTTTGATTTGCTGTGCCTTGTACTCTTCCACGAGCGTATTCTAAACGTTTATAGTCGTCACTTTCTGACACGACTATTGTACCAGGGTCTAAATCATTTGGAGATAAATATTTCGGACTGTAACCGCCTGATTCGTAGGAATCAAAACTTTCTCGAAGGTAGGATTCACTAGGATCATCGTTTGTTTCGTTCTCGTTATCATTATCGACGCTGGTTGTACTGCCGTGTTGGGAGGATTCATTGTGAATGGGTGATTCTTCATCGGGTTGGACAGCACTGGAACTTGGACCTGGTTCGGTTGTTTCGGAAGTAGGAAGTGGATTTTTGGGGGATCTTGGAATTTCTGTTGGTATAGGAATAGTTACCGCTTGTTCAGCTTTGAGAAGTTCCAGTTTTTTGCGTAGGTTTTCTTGGTGACGATCACGAAGACGTGCTCTAGCCATGTGAGCTGTAAAATTAATAGTTTATTAAGTAAATTTCTTAACGACGCCATTTTGTTTTGTGCTTACCTTTCAATTGCGACAACAGCGACTCCCAATACCCAATATCCAGCCCATCTGACTTGCTATTAATCTTATCCTCAATACTCTTCTGCAGCTGCGCTAGTTGTGCTGTCGTTTTGCCTTTAAAAACATTCGTGACATCTTTTTCAACCGCTTGATGAATACCCTCCCTTCTAATCATCATTTCATACTCATTTTGCCGAATTAGTTTCCGTAACTTATGCAACTCATCTTGCACAATAACAGTAATATCATTCCAATAATCTAAATTCTTACCACGTTCTAATTCCTTATAAACCTTGATATCCTCGACTAAATCTTCTAAATCTTTCACCTGTAAGCCATTTAAGTAGGTGTAAGGTTCATGCATTTCCACTGCGTCCACTTCCTCTTCAGTGTTGATATATTTCGCGAGCAGATCAATCGGTTTGGCGCGACCATCTTGAATACGAATGTGTGAACGTAGACGAGCTTGTTCCAAATGAAACTGGTCTTCCTGTCGTTCCCATTCCTCAAATTGTGCTGCTTCTTTATTACGCTGCATCAATTGCATTTCATCTTCGCGTTGTTGACGTTCAAGTTCGCGTTCCTGACGACGTTTCTTCACCTTCTCAAGTTCACGTTTGTTTTCTTCCTGTTTATGACGATTGCGTAATTCTAACTCTTCATGACTGGCATCAATCAAGCCTTCTTTGCTTAATTTCTTTGTCCAGACAAATGTACTCAGTAGATTGCCATCCCCAAAAGGATTGTCTGTGTTTGTGTAGTGTAGGTATTCATTATCCCAGCCCATGCGCTCTTTCCGTGAGCGTTCTTTTGCTTCTTTTTTCTTTAAACGACGCAAACGTTTCTCTTCTGGCGTTTCATTTAGCTTCATTAATTCTTTACGTTTTTTCTTTTCCTCTTCTACTCTTAATCTTTCTGCTTTTAATTTTTCTAGCAATTCTAAGGAACTATTAGATGATGAACTCTTGGAACTATTTGAGCTGCTGCTGGAGTTTGATCTACTTGAACTACTACTTGAATCATGTTTTCTTCTGCTTTTGTGGTCTTTACTTCTAGATTTAGATTTTTCTTTTGAATCGTTTTTTGACTTACGTGAATACGAACGCTTATCGTCACGAGATTTATAGGTGTCTTTTTTGTTGCGGGAAGTTGATCTTGAGCGCCGAGAAGGTCGTGATTTCGTTTTATCTCTTCTGCTTGATGATTTGTATTGTGGACTTACACTTCTTTCTCTAAAATGTTACAAGAACATTGAAATTAGAATAAAATCATTTATATATAAATGTTAATAATAAACATACCTTGTTCTGGGCATTGTATTTATTATTAACAATGTTATTTTATAAATAAATCACCACAAACACACTCGTATAACAAACGATTTATTTTAGGTTATGCGGCCTTCAATCTTTCGCCAACAAGTGTTCGGAGCAGTTCGTTTACCGAATCGTTTTAAAAAGACGAGCGAACCCGAACCACTGAAATTAAAAGCGTTATTATTTATTCTATTTATTTATTGCTATGTATTTAAACAAAATTGAAACAATATTTTGTTTATTAAATAGTATAAAATGCACTAATTTATAAGAACGTTTGTAAAAAACAAGATTTAAACAAAAAACGCTTTCGTATAAACTCGGGGCGCATGCGTGACAGATCAAATTTCCGAAAATATAACGGTCAAATCCACACACGAGTCAGCACAGTCAGCATTCCAGCCGGCAGCATTGTATTATTTTTCTTTGTGTAACTGCCATTGGAGGATAAGATCCTCCGCACTCTTAAACCATCATCCATGAACTTAGAACGTCAAGAACTAGTCGAAAGTATGAACAAGAATATTTATTATTCCGATAAGTATTACGATGAGGAGTACGAATACCGGTAAGTGTTAATTTCCACTTTGTTTGCTTCTGCATCAGTGTATAACATTAATCTTAATCTTCAACAGACATGTAGTTTTACCCCGTGAATTGGTGAAGCTGATTCCAAAGACTCACCTAATGTCCGAGACAGAATGGCGAAGCATTGGGGTTCAGCAGAGTCGCGGCTGGATCCACTACATGACACATTCACCAGAGCCACATATTCTACTCTTCAAGCGTAAAATTACTACTCCTCCACCACATGAATAGGTTGTCTGTTCAATAATGTTGTATATATCTATTTAATCAAAACCTCTCAAATATTTCTTAGCACTTTATTCTTGCATATGACAATTGTCTATTTAATTTGTAGTTGATGCTATTGTTGCAATTTTATACCACAGTCACTAGTAGCATTAGTAATTGTGCCTTACTTTTATTTTATTCTGTATACTGGACAGTTTATGCCTGTCTATTGCTAATTCATCATGATAGCTGGCTTTCAAAATGATCTGCAGATGTTTTTGTTAATGTAAGTGAGAAGTTGATGTAACTATTTTAGTTTTATCTAATATGTATCTATAAGATAAGGTTTAGCATTTGTGGCTGTTATATATTACTGAATAAATAAATAAAGTTTTACATGTGTACAATACAGTCAATTATTTACGAAATACATATCTTATTTATAAAACTTATGAAATGATTGCAATTTGTTAGCATTAAAAAAAGAACCTTTTAACCTACAAGTTCGTGTTCTTGGTTTTGTGAGTAAATTTCCATTGTACACATCTTCCCAGTGCTGTACTTTGAAGGTATGAATAGATTTTTAAACAATTAAACTATTTATTTAGTGTGTAGAGATATTATATGATTCTCAAACGGTGTTCATGTTCAAAAGTTGCGGCAAACGCAAAGCACATGTGATTTGGCGGTGAAACTTGATGCGTGAAGGTTAGAATACAGCGTTACCGGCAGTTTGAAATTAACGAACTACAAGTTTAGTTTTTCGTTAATATCTCCTAAACAACTTAATCAATCCGTATCAAATTCAAGACAGTGTGCAATGGTAATAAAATATATCTAATACTAGTTAAATTTCTGATAATAAATGAATAATTGCCGCTTAAATTTACGTTTTAAACTTCAATCCGCAAATAAAACTGTAACATTGAATATCATTCAATGTTAATACTAAATTTGAAAAAGATTAGGATCATAATTAATATAGTTCGTTAGTTAGCTCTGTAGTATCAGCAAAATTGCTATTTATATCTGCTTCATTATCTAACTGAACAAATATAATGATATAAGTAATCCAGGTACTCACAAGCTAAAAAAATGCAACAAAATTAACAAAATATTTAAAAATAGTTTAATTATTACCTTATAAATAATTCCCCAGTGTATAGTAAGAAATCTTGCTGCAGTAATATCCAACGTCGAATGTAAAAGTTGCAAAGAAAACATTTCCGTCTGAAAATTTATATTTATTACCCAGTTTAAAATTGTTTTAAAGACAATTTACATGTTTCTCCAACTTAGGATACAAATTTCTAAGTTGATGTAAAAAATACCGTGTTTGATTCGATTTGCGCATCAATTCTGACGAAGAATCGATTAGAACAATCAAAGCAAACATCCACACAACCGACCAATACTCAATTGCATAAATAGACCTCATCGGCATGGAATAGCCATTGATATACTGCCCAATATCCATACAGACATCATAAACAAATGATAAAATATCCACAGTGACAATCACCAAAAACACAACCAGATCAAACCCAAACAACGAATTCAACAACCGCACATTATCAACATACGCATCAAAAATATTAAAAACCATCTGGAATATAGTAACACGATGATTCGGAAACAATTCAAGCAATTTCGGCGGATATTCCGACCGTTTATTGAGATAATACTTCTTAATTATCTTCTCATCATTCATGGTAAACTGCTGCAGGTAAACATTAATCGCTTCGAACTTATCACCGCACATATCCATAAGCATTGCGATTGTTAGCACATAAACAGCGATCACCAGCGATGGAATATACTGGCATGCAAAGTAGGGCCATACGTACTTGTCGCTGAAGTAATGAATGTCGGCGGTGAGTGCAGCGGAGGCGCTCAAGAAGAGTAGCATGTAAATTGCGATTGTTGGCTGGTATTTGATCCGGGGCACAACTTCGATTAGTTTTAGTTTCGCGTCGTTCTCGCGTAGAATTTCAAATGCGGAGAGGTACTGGCCACGGAAGAGTGTTGTGGTTATTGATACTTGAATGAAGAGTATTGGGCACACGAATGCTTGCACGTAGAAACGCATTGATGAAATAAAATTGTATCTGGAATTGGATTTAGTGGATTTATGTCAAATTAGTAAAAAAATAGCAAATATTTTTTTAATTATTTTTTCCTACGTACCGTCCACCAATAATTGAATTTTCACTTATAAAACCATAAACAAATAAAATAAAAAATATAATTATTGAAATAACGTTAAATGCAACATGAAATCGTCCACCACTCGAAAATTTACTTGTAATTAACCATTCGTTGAAATATTTTTTAATAAAGTGAATAGAATAAAATGCAGCCATTTTTACAAAGATGTTGTTTTAAAGACTACCACAAATGTTATACAAACATTTAATTACACTCTACACTCTTTATATGATCATCTAGAGTTAACATTAATAAAATAACAGACATTATAATAAATATTACACACATAAAATTTTTTGTTGCTTGTTTATGCAGGGAATAATATTGTTTGTGATGGCGGCGCGCCTCCACCAGCTTCACCACTCACAATATGGCGCTTAATCGAACCGAATTGTATTAATATCACCACGTATGTGGATGCGGCCGATATAATCTGAAACAATGCAGTATTAAAGAGTGTTAAGCGTTTTATTAATATTCCCTGCTCACCGAAATGATGGCCGGCCAATCGATATCGACTATGCCGGACGCGCTGAACTGCGGAATCGCGTTTGACAGTTGTATCGTCGTCAACTGAATGCATCCGGCCCACTTCCCGATTTGATTATTAATCGATAAGATGTTCCAGAGTTTATGAACGTTGAGTACTGTTTCTTTCAACTAAAAATTATTTTTTATTATTTTTATTATTTACTGTTTTTAATGGTACCTTTTTATCTAGATGTGTCCATGAATAAATAGAAATAATTATTCTAGCGAATATTATCACAATCTGCAGACAATTCCCAAGAATCATAAGCAATTGTAGTTGATCATAAGTAGTTAAATCTAAATCGACAATACCATTACACACGTCGTACAATGTGAGAGTTACCACTGCAAAATCCAAAATAAACAGTGACATAATCGGTGCACCAAATAAATTATTCGCTTTCTTTGCACATTGACAAATCTCCAGATGTATTTGAGTCAAGTCCTGAAACTTTTCAAGATAGGCAACTCTGTGTACCTTCTGTTGTGCATGCTGTGCTTGTACTTTGAGTTGCCTATTATGTTCATCTTGTACGAATTGCAACCCTTCGAACATGAGTGCGTGTATTCGCTCACATTGTAATGCCATTTCATTGAGTATCTTGTACGCGAACATGTTCTCACAATAATACATCAAATTCCCAGCGAAGATAGCCAATTTGATGGACCAATGCATATCGGCACACCATCGCACCATTGCATTGGCGCTGGTAAAAACGAAGAAAACCATCCACATTTTCAACGTATTCTTCGTGTATTTCGGTTGCATGCGGAGCCGCTTATTGATTTCATTCACGTCTAGAATTACGCGCTTGAAGAGGCAACGCACAGCGAAATAATAGGGAAATCTGCTCAGCGTTGCGAGCAAATTGACGCAGAATACAGTCCAGATGCCGTACGACAGAATCACCACTTCCTCCTGCAGCATTTCGCTGGTGTTGAAGTGGTAACTGGCCAAACTCAAGTAGATAAATGACGCCAGAAAGGGTATGAATAGAATCGAACTGAATCGGCTCAGACATTTTGAATTGGCGAGCGAAAATTGCGAGACGCCGATGAATGCGCCCAGAAATAGTATTGAATCGAAACTTTTCACGTAACAACTTCGCTTTGACATGTTTAACTCACAATAGAATATTTATGTATCTACTTGCTATTAATATGAACGTATCAAGTTGTTATTATTGTGTTTCTTGTGAACGACAACAAACAAATTGACGTTTAATGCATTAATTTTACAATATTTTCATTTACCACCGTGTTTACGCCAGAAATTAATTATTTTACGTTCATCATCAAATTAAACAAACATTTAAAATGATTAATCATAGTTTTTCACTCTAGTGAATAAAATATAGTATTTCTCTGTTTTTTTTCGCTGTGTGATTAATGTGTTATTGTAGCGTTCCGAATAGGATTCGGTTGAACTTCAGTAGCTAATTCGAATTGCATTATAATAACAACATACGTGGCGGCAGATGAGATGACCTAGAATGTTATATCAGCATTAATAATTTAAACCCGTATTGATTCTGTGCGATGCACAACAATAGCAAACATGATATGAGCATCAACATGATTATCAAGACTCACGTAGATAATTAACGGCCAATCAATGATGATGATACCGAAGGTTGAAAAATTCGGCATGCCGTTGAATAATTGCACGATGAGCAATTGTAAATAATTGGATTTCTCGTCGATCTCGTTGTGCTTTGCGAGCGTATTCCACATTTTATGCAAACATGTTATTGTGGCCTTTAGCTATTAATCAAAATTATGTAAACAGACAAAGTTAAAGTTAATATTTGCATCAAGAATCTATTTTTGTATTATAAAAACTAACCGACGTCATGTTTATGTATAGTTGGTTGCATATTATAAAATATTCCCTATGATTTGACTTTACGTATTTGCAAAATTAATAAAACCTTCAAATTTAGTTATTTAGAGGAATATACTTACAGTTTTCTTAAGTTTGGTCCAATAATAAATACTATAACATTCTTTGGTTAAAATAAGCGCATCGTGAAATGCATTATTGAAAGCTTTCAGCATAATTCCATAGTTAACCTTTCCAAGGTTTAAAAGCTGGCGAATGTCTTGGCAGAACGTGACAGTGGTGCAGGTCAACATCGTAAAATCACTCAACACTGCAACCAGAACAGACACGCCGAAAACCGTGTTGATTTCAGTCGCAATTTGCCCGATAGCCAAATGAGCTTCGGCCATTTCATACGCGCTATCAAAAAAGGAATCTTTCTCGCTCTCGCGTAACTTCTTCACATCCAACAATTCATTCCAGATTTTACCTTTCGGTTGAATTTTATCCAACGCCAGAAAACTGATTCTCTTCTGTAGATGCTCATTAATACTCCGGCATTGTTTCGACAATTCATTCAACATTTTATACGTCAAAGTAATTTCAACATAGTTCACGAAATAAAACAATTGATGCACAAGAATAATCCATATTGATGAAGCCGTATACAATTCCACATAGGAATTCAAAGCGATTGCAATGCACAAAGTCCCAACAACTCTCAAAATCTCCATTGTGTAGTCCTCTTCACGCAGCTTCAAGAATTCGTTTAGTTTGTGCACTTTGAAAAACGCGGCCTTGAATGTCTTCCGCCGTAGATAAAAATAAACCACTTTGAAGTACAACGATAGAAAATGTTGCAACATGAGAAGACTGATAGCTGTCGATGGCATATCAGAGTCAATCTCAGACGATTTGTATCCTTGCAGATCAAGAAAAGCACGATAACAAACATACGCGTAGAATGCAAGTGAAGGCACCGCGTATAAACAATCAAAGTAATCATTACCATGACTTGTTAAATCAAACATGGAAATTCCGAAAACTTTACCAAACCAAACAAAATATTCCGAACTTTTAATATATTTACTCGTCATTTTTATCCGGAACTTCAAAAAACGTCTTAGTTTAATGCTGGTTAAGTCTACAATAAGTTAATATTGTTTGTATCGCAGACCAATTTGGTAAACATATTTTAATGAGTGTTTATTGATGTTGGAAGAGCGATACGAACTTCTAATTATAATTAAATTGTGTTCTTTGCTGGTTATTTCAGTTTAATGATGGATATGTCAATGGATATCGATTGTGATGACATTTTGAAGGACAATCCATTGAATAACTTCCTATCGTGCAAGTTGAAGAGTGTTCAAGATGCGAATCAACAGCTACGCACTACAATCGCCGACGCAAAGTGTTCCATTGTCGACGCGGAGGCCATGAAAAGCGACAAAGATAGGTTAATTGTACGCTCGGTGTGTAAGCGATACCACAATGGAAAGTGGTGCTTTATTGTAGATGTCGCCACTCTAGATTCCACAATGTAAGTATTAAAAGGGTTCGTATCGAAAGAAAAACATGCGTAACTTATAACAACTTGTTTATTTATCTCGATATTGAGGTTTAAAAAGTTTGATAGTCGCTTAATGGCTACGTTAATATAGTAATTAGGATTGTACTCACTCTAAGTATCACAATTTCTTGCAAAACATAACCCTATCGACTATTCAATGAGCAAGTTAACTTTTATTACGAATAGCTTAGTTCCCAACAAAATATTTCACGGTATTTTATTAGTTTTTCTGGTTTATATGTAGTTTTATTGCGTTTTTTATTACTTGGTAGCTGTACTACATTGCATACATGTCATGTTGGTTGCCTGCCTCATAGCTTCTTCATCGTAATGGCGGCGAGCAGGTCGGAGGGATCCTTGTCGGGTTGCGCGACGTCTAAATATCCTTGCAGTGAATAATTGAAGAGCTCAAAGTCGTATCTGTTTTTTAAAATTGTAACATACACGTAAAGAATGGCAGAAATTTAATGAATTTTACATGTTACACGGTGAATTATGCGCTTTTACTTGGCTTACCTATAAATGTGATATAGTTGTAAAATTTGTGAACGCGTCAGCTGGGAATACTGCTGCTCGACCTTCTTGGCAGTATAACCATGGCCGACGTTTCTCCACTCGGGTTTTATGACGTCCTGAAGACCCGCTTTTTGGATGAGATATTCTTGATCCTCCTGCAGCATACATACACGCGCGCGTGGTGGAATACAAACATTTTATTTATTTTATTTTACCTGCAGGGTTTCCGTGTGCGCAATGACATCAAAGTCGAATTGACACGGCGTGCAGAATTTCGTAATCGGCGTCCAATGCATGTCCATTGGCTGCTCGTTTTTCGCCTGATCTAATATATAAGCGACGAATTCGGGGAATGATGGATACCGTTGAACTTTTAATTTTCCCTAAACAAAAATATTTTTATGATTTTTGTGGGTTTTTTGAAGGAATTGAAGGTAATTTACTGTTAATTTTGTCTTAGTGGAGCGATACTTTTGTATAATTTCGTTGCCCAATTTTCGGTGATAAGTGTGCGGCAGGGAGTATTGAATTTTGTCGTTGTAACCGGATAACAGCCGTTCGAGCGGATGGCGCACGATGAGGAAGGAGATCGAAGTCCTGAACGCGCTGCGCAGTTCTGCAAGGCTGGGACGGGGGTATCTCTGCCTGGCGAGATTTAGAGGCACTTGTTTGGTTTTCTTCAAAAATTGTGGATTATATCTAGAAATGGAACGCGCGTTCAAAAAATAAAAAAATTCTTTTTTCTCTGCTGCACTTCACTCACCCCGCCAGTACATTAAAATTGTACATCCATGAAGTACTGGCTGCTTTGAACACGTTACACCAGATGAGATGGTGTTGCTTGTTAATGAGGAACTCCCATGGATTAGGTTTATGCAGGGTATCATTCGCTTCAATGTCAAGACCCATGTGAGAGCACATCCTACGCAGGTACGCTTTACGTTGCAATAGACGCTCCTCAACTGCGGTCATATTTTTCGCGACTCGGTGTGATAATACATCCAAACGGCCGTGCTAAAGTGATTTAATTATGATTTAGTTAAAAACTTTTTTCTGTGTAAACGTTTAATAGAAATTTATGTTGCGTGGTTCTTTTTCTTTTCTTTTTTCTTTTGTATGTTTTATTATGTGTCTTAATGGCGTCTCACAGCAGGAAAGTTTGGCGACTATATAAAAACAACTATAAATCTGAAAATTTGTCATAAAGCACTTTGCGCGCAGGCATTTGAAGAGCCCGTAGTAAAAAATTGCAGCAATAAATCGGCGAAGATGTTGCCGACGTTGAGAAATGGTCACTTCCGGTTTTAATCGTGCAGAATAAAGCCTTCCGTGGCGAGAAAAGCGAAAATATCGATTGAAAGCAAAAGCGAATTTAATTTTAGAATTGCCCTTTGTTCCAAGCACTAATCTCGACCTTAGATACCCGAGTATTACCATTTGCTGGTGGAAGTTTGTGTTGGTACCCTGCGTTACACCTACTCGCAGGCTGAAACGCACTCCACGTGGTTTACATATCCGCCCTACTTATCGATTAATTCGGTAGTTGAAACATGCATGAATGTTGTATATATATATGGTTGTATTAAGATATGATCGGCATCGGAAAACACGATAGCGTGCCGTCCTGCATTTTCCTCGCTCTGCTTTCGTCTGCTTTCAATATAAACTTTAACAAAAGGCTGAGATTGAACGCTTGATGGAGGCAGCGCTTTGTGATTATTTGGATGTCGTCCAAGCACATAGACGCACATTGTTCACAAAAACACAAAATGACATAGAGAATATATTGTAATAAAACATGAGTTGCACAAAATCTATTAATATCTCCACAGTTATCAGAAATATTTATTTATTTCCATTTTAAATCAAAATTTTTGTTTTTTAACAAAAAACGTTATTAAATGAAAATAAATTAATATACTGAGTGATTAATTAAATAAATAACTTAATTTAATAAAAATCCAACAAATTATCAAAAAATTATCATGAAAAACATTAAATTTTAACCGCAACTTCAAACTTTATTTCAAAATAAATTTCAATCAACGTATTTGCTGATGAATCTAAATCTATTTGTATGTCAAGGACAAATTAAGCCCAATTAAACCTCCAGATGTGCTTTTTATTGTTTTTAATTCGAATGATTGTTTATAACATTTACCTCGGATCTATCGAATGTGGACTTTCCAGCGCGCACCGGCCGCATATATTGATCTGTCGTAACGAGCAGCACCAGTAGCACCGGTATCACGCAGATCGCCGTGAAGAAAATCACGCATCTTCGTATCACTTTCCACGTGGCCACTCGCTTACGCTTTTTGTATCGCATCACTCGTCCGCGCACCTCGGGTGATGCACTCGGACATCGGCCGTCACTCACGCGTGCGTACTCCCTCGTGTGTACATTTAACTAGATAACAATTGAGGTTAGAACTGTTAAACCAATACAAATAAATGCAATACCTTGTGCTGTAGGCGTAAAACTAGATAATGTTGTAATATTTATTATTGTATTATTATTATCCGGGATGTATATGATGTAAATATTCTAGTTTTATGTCTATTCTATGATAATTGCACGTTGAAGCTTTGGTTAGTTATAAAAATGCACCTTTTATATATTTTTATTTATATATAATTGATTTTACGATTGTTTTTTATTTTAATTTTTAATTTTTTGTTTTTAGCTCTTTTGGAATTTTATCTTATGATTACAGCAATGGCTCGGAGCTTAAATATTTATTTACTATTACGTTATTAATATTATTAATTTTGAAAACGTCAAGTAGGTAACTTTGGAAGACTTGTGTTAATTGAATTGCGAAACTTTGTTATTTTTGATTATAAGCTTGTCGCAGTGCCGCTAGTTGGACTGCGGGTGTTTACATTACGCGCGCGTTCACTAATTGTTTAGTAATTGTTGATGTGTCGCGTGGCCGTGTGACTTTTCGCCTGCGATCTCGTGCGAGATGAGCGGCTACATCGCGCACTTTCGAGGCGCGAGGTTATGTGCGGCTGCAGGAGCAGAAAGCCGATGCGGGCTCGCGCGTTTTCCCGTGACTGGCGTGGCGGCGGCGCAGCGGGAGCGTGACTGCGGTGCGTCGCCGTCCCGTCCTGCAGCGGGTCGATCCTGCCACAGGACTGCGGAGGGCATGCGCTCGTTATTGTGCTCGCCGCGGCTCCTGCTCTGCATCCTTTCTCGCTAAACGCTATGCTGCGCAACGTTTTATACTCGTTTTATTTAAGAGATTATTTTATTTATTATGATTATTTTCTTTAACTATAAAAGTAATATGAAAATCTTGAAGGAAATTAGAGTAAAAGTAGTATTAACGCTGTTGTAAATTAATGGGTGGATTCTTCTTGCGCGAGTCTTGAAATAATTTCAGTTTTTTGTTAATATCTGGGAAACTAATTAACTTATTAGATTTATCTCTTCAGGAATTTATTCAGTGGAAAATTCTGCATCTTATTATATTCCAGAAATGTTTTTAGATCATTTTTCTAAAAAGTTATGGTAATTTTCTTAATTTTTACAAAATATAACTTTAATTGTTTATAACTTTTGTTGTAACAATCAGATATTTATAATATTTTTCAATTAGACGTAGAATTTAATTGTTAACCAACTACTGAAAAAATAACTACAATATCTCAAATAGTTTTTGAGTTAATAAATTAAAACTGCGGAATAGCATAATTTAAATTTTAAAAATACGTAATTTATTCAATTTAGAACAAAAATATGAATATTTATGTGACACAAGTACCAGAACGTTACCTGTTTATATAATTCTGTTTGTGTGTTCACAGAATGTACAAGGACTTCGACATGTCATTGAAATGGTCGCCGATAATTGCACCACAGTACACGCTAACGATCTACTCGAACGATGTGAAAAAGTTCGTACCGCCAGCGAAAATAGCGACCGAAATACGCGTAATCGTCGCATTTGAATCGATAGCGTTTGCGCGACAGAAAAAGTACACCGCAGAAGTCGTCCTGTTCTACGCGGCGGATGATAACATATGCAGCCTGCAGCTAGGCGCGTTTTGCATCAGCGCCGCGGAGATGAACAGCGGCGCGCACGAAATTAAAAACATACATTTAATTAACGGCCGCCGAGAGGATATGCTCGCGGCGGTGGCCTGCAGCGTCGAGATAGAACTCGCGATGACACTGCCAATGGGCGTCCTCAGAGATTACTTAGTCATTGACTGCATGTTCCGAGAGGTTGTGCTTGACACTAACAAATGGTTTCTGCTCAATGCTAACGCAGAACACTTGAATGGATGTCTTTTAGTTTATCACTTTGATGAACAAGATGAAATTAATTTGGTGAAGTTATATGTCAGGTATAATTGGTTGCATACACTAAAACTAACCCTATTTTAAAACCCTGTATTTAATCACAAAAACTATTTATATATTTTTTTTAGGGACAAAGTACATTTACACAGCGTCCTCCACCATTTGCATTCGAGCATGAAAGGCGTAACAATAATGTCTTTGAAATGCAAATCGCAGTTGGTGAAACCAAACCGCGATTGTGAGGATGAGATTTTCTCGTCGCAGGCATACTTGCAATCGCAGGCGCCGAAACGCGTCGATGCGAGCGTGGAAAAATTCGCCGAATCCCTCCATCGACAAATTGATAGCGTTATCGATTTTCATCGGAATGTTGTCGGCAATAAGGAAATTTCGCCGGAATGCGACGTGACCGAGCAATATCACGCCATGCGAAATTCCCTAACACAGCACGAATCGACTACTGATTTGCTCTACCAACACCTTTCGAAATAAAAATAAACAAACACGAAGTACTTACAAAAATGGAAAACATTTATTATATACATCAAATACAAAATACAACATGTCGTAAAGATATAAAAATTAATAATTATCGATTATTAAGTAACTATTTTTAATTTAAATTACTTTTATTGTGGTTGCATTGTCACGACGCCATTAGTTCCAGTTTTTCAATAATAACTCAAAAACTATTTGATATTTTAACAAAATTCTTTCATAAATCTATTTAGCATTAATTTCTACATTAATTATGCTAAATTTTTGCCAATCATAATTTTCCATAAAAAGTTATAAACAATTAAACTTCAATTTAGTAAAAAATATAAAATTGACACATATTGTGCGGTAACTTTTTATAAAATCATGATTACTATATACTTTTGCATAAATATATAGACAATTTAATACTGAAAGTGTTTGTAAAAAAATTTTGAATGTACGTTGAATAGTTTATGAATTATTAATAAATAACTAAAATAATCGATCGTGACATTGGAAAGATACTATAGATAACAAAATATATTAAATCTGTTTCGAAATCTTTCAGTCTTGCCCTACATACGTGTTAAATATTCTGCAAAAAATACAAAAAGCCATCACCGCGCCCCAAACGTTTACGTAACCCTTAGCCCTTGTGTTTCTATGTACAACGTTTTGTTTTGCAGGTACTTTGAAGCGACTGCCGTTCTGTTCCTACCGATACTTAACTACTTCCTCCGATACGAACTGAAACTACTTCCCATTTTAAAATTCAACTTCCCCTTATTTAATAATATCTATAACACTAATTGTTTGCTACGCGTGTTACTGGCTTACGAATATTGCACAAATTTCAATATATTGCACAACATTATCACAAAATTCGTGTTTACTTGAGCAGAATCAAAACAATAAAACAGAAAAATATTGCACGGAAATTGCACGACGTTTCATTAACAGTAATTTGGCTTATTTAGCCGTTAATTAATTAATTGTACACAATAAACATTAAATATATTAAGCTAATGTGACTTACACTAGGAAATAAATTAATATTAATATTGCTGTAGCTTATACACTACGATATTGCACGTCCGGCCTGTTATCAATTAATCTCACATGCTGTGTGTGAGTTTATGTACAAAAATTACACTCGAAATATTTCTACAACTAAATTAATCATATTTGTTTTAAATAATTGTATGGCTAATATATTTATATAAACTAGGAACCCGATCAGTGATGTTTTGAATCAGAACCAACGCCACTGTCTAATGAACTAGTGACATTTGTAGTTTTTCTAAAACTACCGAAGAATACAGAATGTGTTTCGATACTTTCCGCGCCTGATTCACTTTGACCATCACCGAGACTTTCGTCTGTTTCACTACCACCACTGCACAATTCCCGCTTCTTTTTGTGATGAGATTCATTGGAATCTGTGCTTAGATATCCACTGTCATCTTGTTTCACTTTGATAACCTTCTTCCAGATCTTTTTCGGTTTACTCACGAGGTCAACTGGACAGTCTACGTTGTTTGTAATGGACGCTTGTAAAATCAGTTGATTATTGATTCCGTTTTTGAAAATGACATCCTCTGAATGTATGAAATTGTTGAGGATGCTTACATCTGTGTATTTCACAGGTCCAGTGCCTTTAAGCGTACCGTTTTTTGGCGGTAGAGGCGGTTTTGTATTTTCGACAGGTCTCGGTGGTTTAGGGTGTTCATAGATTGGTACTTCCGGTTCCTTCATATCAGGTGGTATTATATCTGGTGGTATGGATATTGGTGACTTTCGTTGTCTTTTGGAATGACGTTCCTCTAAGGTTAGAATTCGTCCTTCGTAATCTTCTTCTTCTTCATGATGCGGCCATGTTGTTTGTGCTTCTACATCATTTAAAGGTTTCTTAATTTTTGCTTCGTAGATTTCTCGTAAACTACTAAAACTTTTCTCGAAAGCTTCATTAATACCCTCTTGGGTCAAAGCAGAAGCATCTTTTTTGAAGGTTCCATTTGTCCTCAACATAATAGGCTTGGGCCTTTCTAAAGAATCAATGAATTCGCCATCAATACGTTTGTACAATTTCATTTTGGGTTTCCTATCAAGAGTGTCAGGTTCAAAAGCATCCGATTCCTCAGCTCTGATGTAATTATCCGGACAATCTTCAACTTCTATAAGTAAATGTCCTGGTTTATTAGGTTCATAAATAATTTTTGGAGCTCTCTCCAACGTTGAACAATCAGAATCAGTTGGTGTTGATGGTTGACTGCTGTAATTGTACCCGTTATTAACATACACCTCACTAACTAAACTATACCCAGTGTTTTTCCTCTGTAACAACTCAGGAAGTTTAAATATACTCCCAGCGTTGTTGCCTTTCTTTAAAACAATCAACTCGTAGTCATGATCGTCAGATGGCATCACGTTGCTCATATTCAGTTTGGATATTGTCATGTTACCGGTTTTGGTGTTAATTATCGCATTTTGCATGGTCATTTCTTCATCCATGGGCAAGGCACCACTCAAACTAGGACTGGGTTGTGATGAAGACACGTCTACGTATTCAGGAGGTGTGCTGAAACCCTTTTTGGTGCGTTCCAAGCTGTCCGCTTCGTAGACCGCCTTGGATGCTAATTTTAGATTGTCTATTTTATTGATAATCGGCTTAGCAACTGTGGTCGCCTTTGATGTTGACGTGGACGAGCTGCTCGTCGACGTGTGTTGCTTTGTGCGCGCAAGCATGATGGCTTCATGGATCATATCCGGGGGCGGGAGTGGTGCTTTACCTTTGGGCGCTGCCACCACGTCGTAGATGTTATGTGTTTTTTGTGTTTTTTGTACTTTAACTGTGGATTGCTTTGTTTTTACTTGGGTAGGTGGTAGGGGAGGCGGTGCCTTTGGTCTGGTTGTACTACGTACGGTTTTAATTGTACTGCTGCTCTTTCGTGACCTATTTGAGCGATTTGAAGACGCGGATTTTGTTTCGCAGTCGATTGTTGGTTCAGCTGCAGGTCGCGGTGCAATTTTACGTATGTGGGGTGTAATCAGATGATCAGGTGATAATGATCGGGTTGGAGAACGTAGTTTTCGACTTTTTGATTGCAATTGTAGTGATTTGGGACCATCGGATTGTTTGATAACAGGAACATCTTCCAACCACTTGCGAATACTTTGCTGCTTGCTGTCTGAACTCAGTGCGCAGTTTTCACAAGCGCCTAGGGTGGAATATTGGGGCAACTTTCCGGTCAGCGAGTTGAACTCTTGCGGTTCACAGCCCGGACATCCGGTGCACGTTTTTCTGCGACTGTTCTCCC